CAAGGGGTATTTGGAGAACAGAAAGCAGAAAGTTCCTGTGGGAAAATTAAGAGCTATACTTAGGTAGGTGGGGGCGAGAGAGAGTAGGAAATGAAATCGTACACCAGGGAGCTGGTGCATATTGGAGAGTCATTAATGATATTCAGTAGTGTGTGGCTGGGTCAGGAGGGCTGGTGATTGCAGTGCTTTTGGAAGCTCTCTGGAAAGTTTTTCCAGCAGAGATGTGTGTTAGAGAAGGGAGATCGGTGACGTGTGTGAGTTCACTCCTGGGCCACAGTAACATTAGTTGCAATGAAAAATAAGACCCAGGGATGAGAGCTATCACAAAGGAAGAGCCTACAGGAGGAGGCAACTGACAAGTAGCTGGAAGAAGAGAGGAGGGAGAGAAGTAGAAATGCCAGGGGGATTCTGGGCCTGGGTGTGTTGGAGAGTGATGTTATTGCTGACAAAATAGAGAAGTTCTGAAGGGGAAATGATTTGGATGGGAATAGGAGGGGTCTGACTGTCAGAGTGTTGAGCAACAGGTTCTAGGAACCCTTGCTTTAGGCTGGAACTGTTATCCAGCTAGAAATGTGGGACCAGAATTTAGGAATAGGCCCCTGACCAGAGGTGTGTACGTGGTAGTGTGCATCGACACTGAAGCAGTAGAGACTGTGGCTTCCAAAGATGGTGTAGGGGGAGCTGGGGTCATGCCATGTTGGCCAAGTGGGAGTGTGGGGGGGGGAGAAGGGCGAATCAGGAGAATGAATGAGGCCACTGGAGCAGTAAGGCCAGAGATATGACTGTTAGGACATTGTAGATGGCCTTGGAGCAGCTCATTTGTACCCTGTAAATGGGGGCAGAATGAAAGGAGTTAAGTGAGTGGGTGGTAGGAACATGGAGTTGGTAGTGTAGCCTCAAAGTTTGTTAGGGACTCTGGGGAGGACTGAGTGTGGGTATTTTTCAGGTTAGAGGAGGAGGATCAAGGGTGTGTCTGTAAAACAGGAGGCCAGAGCCAGTGAGGGAAGGGTCAGTGATGCTGAGAACTGGGGCCGTCTCACCCCGAGGCATTCCCAGAGATCAAGGACAGGGCCACAGGCGTAGTGCTTCCTATGCTTCAGAAGGACACTGAGGGAGCTTGTGCTGGCTGGCTGCCATCAGTTGTGTTGGGGTGAGGTCATCTGTGAGAGGGAGAGGATAAAGCATTTGGGGGCTCTAGGACATGGAAAAGTTTTGGAACAGCTGCTGTGGGGAAGGCAACTGGGAATCTGCTGGAGCTAAATACAGACAGCCGGCCTAGGGCTGGAGGGCGTGGAGGGCGCTGCAGTGTTTTGTGAGCTCACTCTGCAGTGTTTGGTGATCTCTCCACCTCCTTGCTGCAGCTTGGAGGTTGAAACAGGAAGCAGGCAGTGGTGCCACCCAGGGTTGGAGATTGGGCCAGATAGCTGAGGGTAGTAGAGGGCTGTAAGAGCGACAATAGGACCCCATTATAGCAACTCAAGGGATCAGCTTGGGGGCTTGACATTTCAGAAAGGCATTGGGGGGAGGTGGGATCAGGAGACTCAAGCCTTGTGCTGGGCTCCCTTTGCAAACTCAGACTGAGTAAAGGAGAGGCCCCAGGGACCTGGGAGGATCTTTGGGACAGAGACCCATAACCCTTAGGTCCAGTGCATCTCCAGTTGTACAGTGAATGATGGAAAGTAGTTCATAGCCATGGGAATTGAGATCAAGGTCTGTTGGCAGGCAGAGAGGAAGGCAGTGACTGCTCGAGTGTCCTAAAGGACATGGGTGCCTGAGGGCAGGGGTATGGATAGCTTGTTCATCCTTTCAAAGACCGGAATGGGCCTTTACAGTGATACTGGAGAACAGAGCTCCCCGAGTCATTTTCTCTGACCCCACAACCAGGCAGGAAAACCTAGTTGAAGCAAAAGGGGATGCTTTCATTGAGGGACTTATTGTTTGAGGGTAGGAGACTGCAGGAGTCTTAGGGGAACATGCCTAAGAGCTGGGGAAGTCCACACTCTAATTCTGTGCTTCCCTGGGCAGAGCAGAGTTGAGCCAAGCCCTGGTGCTACTGTGGTGCAGCAGTAGGTGCAGAGCCAGGGCTGAGGGGAGAGTGGCCGTGGAAGGAAGCGGCAGGAGGCATGGCGGTTCCTGTGTTGAAGGAATGACAGCGTCAGCAGGTCCTACCAACATTCCTGCGGGAGTGTCATATGAACATGCTGTTGCCGGTCTGACAGCCCTCCTGCAGTGTCCTGTCCTAAACTTCCCTCACCTCCACCCACAGTCTTCAGAACTCAGAATCCCTCTAAGCAGGAGGGGTGGGCTAGCCTAGGCACTGGTCTTTGGGCCTCCTCTGAGGCCTATTGGGCAGGGATTTGGGTCAAGTAGACCAGAAACCCCTCACTCAGGAGGGACTCCAGGGTCTCTGTAGGGCTGAGGGCTGGGGAGCTCTGCAGACAGCTCTGGGGTTTAACCTGTGCTTCCCGCCTGTGTTGCATCCTCACGCTAACAGGGGCTGCTCAGCAGCAGGCGGGACGGGTAGGTGTGTGTGCACGAGTGTGCACGCATTGCGTGCCCCTGCCCCGTGGGGCTGTGTCTGAGCATGCTCTGTGGAGTTGGTGCGTGGCTGGCGTATTCAGTGCTTCAGTGTGCGTGGCCTCTGTTGCTCAGTTGTTCTGGCCTGTCTGTGATTGCAGGGGTTGGGGCGGGGGTTGGGTTTTGGGTGTGGTTGGGTTTTGGGTGAAGTGGGTGGAGATGCGTGCTTAGGTCATCCCCTGCCCCTCTGTGATGTATGTGGTGCTGCTGGCCTGGGCAGGGGGGGGGAGAAGGAAGAGCTTTAAACTGAGCATCTAGGAAACAGGCAAGAGCTAGGTCCTGGTTGGAAGAAGGGGGTCAGCGGGCAGGTCTGGGCGGGTCCTTGGAGGGAGTGACCCTTGAGAATGTAAAGAAGGTGTTGGGGTTTCAGGTGCGCTCTCCTGGGGCTCCAGGACCCCTGACCCTGAAGGAGGTGGAGGAGCTGGAGCAGCTGACTCAGCAGCTGATGCAGGACATGGAGCAACCTCAGAGGCAGAGTGTGACAGTGAATGGTGAGTCCATCGCCTGCTGTGGTGACACTTCCCCTTCCATTGCTGTGTTGGCTGGGGCCTGAGCTGGCTGATCCCTTGCAAGCTTAAGTTCTTCCTGTTCATGGTGTTCTTCTTTGGCCTTCCCAGAGTCCTGTGGCAAGTGTCAACAGCCACTGGACCGTTCGCAGCCCGCAGTCCGGGCACTGGGGCAGCTGTTTCACATCACCTGCTTTACATGCCACAAGTGTGAGCAGCAGCTCCAGGGACAGCAGTTCTACAGCCTGGAGGGGGTGCCATACTGCGAGGGCTGTTACACAGTGAGTCTGGGTTGGGGTTCTTGGGCTGGGAAAGGGGTGGATGAGCCTTGGAACCTGGGCCTTGGGTGCTTGTTCCCTGGCATCCTGCTCCTCTGACTCCTCAGGACACCCTGGAGAAGTGCAACACCTGTGGGCAGCCCATCACTGAACGAATGTTGAGGGCCACGGGCAAAGCCTACCATCCGCAGTGCTTCACCTGCGTGGTCTGCGCCTGTCCCCTGGAAGGCACCTCCTTCATTGTGGACCAGGCCAACCGGCCTCACTGCGTCCCTGACTACCACAAGTGAGGACCCACTTACATGCATTCTGGGCCCCACTCTGGGTTCCATCCATGCTTTGGTAGCCAGGTTAATACCTGGTCCCAGGCTAGCTCCAAATCTCTGGTTTTGCTTTCTGGCCCCACAGCCTGCCTGTTGATAGCAGGGAACAGCACATCTGGATTTAGCTGTGCAGTGGCCCTAGGCCTGTATAGCTAGTCCTGCTACTGGCTGCTCCTGCCCTAGCTCTCTCTCCAGAGCTTCTTTGGGTGTGTATTCAGTGTTCAGCAGCATGTACTGGCATGACTTCATTTCACACACAGGCTGAGTTCTGAAAGTTCCTTTGGTGATCAACTGTTGGGAGCACTGGTTTCTCCTTAGAAACACAGTGGCCACTTTCTTAGGCTGGCTGGCAAAATACCGTCACATAGTAAAGGGCCGGCTGGGAAAACGGCTGTCTGCCCCCACCTCAGGGATGCATTTTCAGGATTCCATGTGGGGTGACTGGGACTCCATGCCCCTCTGCACTGCCTGGGGTTCAGGGTAGACACACCCACATGTTGGGTTGGGGGTAAGCCAGGGTGGGAGCTGGAGGCTCACCTCCCACACGTTTCCTGCTGAGCTACAGTGTGGAAGGCGGAGATGAGGCTCTGGTGGGAAAGAACACCGAGTCAGGTGTGTGGGAGATGGGTGCTGCGAGGGTGAGTGGGGAGGCAGAAAGTTCCCCTTGATGAGGACTGGCTGTGGCGCTCAATCTTGGTCATTTTTCCTGAGCTCCCTCCCCTGGAGATGCAGGACAGAGAGGTCTGCCATGTGGCCCTCCAACCGGAGTCGTAATACCTTGTGCTTTCTCAGGGGGCATGAAAACGTAAGTGATCTGCACCCCACTGACCCTTGTTTTCTTCCCGCCTTAGGCAGTATGCCCCAAAGTGCTCCGTCTGCGCAGAGCCCATCATGCCTGAGCCTGGCCGTGATGAGACCGTGAGAGTGGTCGCTCTGGACAAGAACTTCCACATGAAGTGTTACAAGTGTGAGGTCAGCTGTTCCTCCTGTCCCCTCAGGAAGGTCACTTTGAGTCTTGGATAAACACAGAAGGGCTGCCCAGTGGGAGGGAAGTGTTCTATTGTGGCATAGATGGGGAGTTGAGTGAGGTTCTAAGAGACAGGAGGTTGGAATGGAATGCAGACAGGACAGGAGAGGCCCCAAGCCTGCACTGGGGTGGTGGGGAGAGGGGACCCTGGAAGCCGAGAGAGACCTAGAGGGTAAAGAGTGGGAACCTGTTGTGGTCAGGAAGACACACATGATCAGGACACCAGCTCTGGGCCATATGAAGCATTTGGCTTTCCTAATTAAAAAAAATGAAGCTGAAGACAGGACAGTGAGGTGGAGCAAGGACCTTCTTGGTCAGTGCCCCTCTTACACTTTCTTCTTCCCAGGACTGTGGGAAGCCCCTGTCTGTTGAAGCGGATGACGACGGCTGCTTCCCTCTGGACGGCCATGTGCTTTGTCGGAAGTGCCATGCTGCTAAAGCCCAGACATAATGCGGACAGGCCTCCTTCCAGACTGCAGGTCCATACCCCGTCAATGGCCACCCACATTGAGACCAATCCCTACCTCCACTCGCCCTGAACCTCCCTCCATTCCAAACCCTTCCCTAGTATCCCAAGTGCCCTGACCCAGGGCCCTATTGGCCTAGGGTGCTGAGGCCCAGCCCTGGGCTGCAGTCCTTGCCTATGCTGCAGGGAAGGCCCGCTGTCCTCCAGGGTCCCCACCCTAGGGGGCACCAGGCTTAGTGCTGCTGCTTTCACTGCTGCACCAACACCCTTGGCTGGTCTCAGCAGCCTCTGTGCTCTGCTTGCCTAGGCCCGACGAGCCTGGACACCTGCCTCGCACCGTGCTGCCAGGTTGAGGCTACAGCCACAAATTAAAGAACCTGTTTTCCAAAATTTTCAGTAATGGACTCTTTCATAGTGCCTACAACTGTCCAGGTTTGATGGGAGATGAAGATGAAAAGATTAGGAATAGGGATGAAAACCCAGTTCCTGTTTATTTACAAAAATATATATATGTGTGTGTATGTCTGTATACATATTAAACCCGCCCCCAGCCCAGCTGTCATTTCACCTCTACACCCCCCGCCCCCACCTCCCTTTTGAAACAAGGAGGCTCCTGAGTCCAGAGACAGAGTCCTGGAAGAGAGGGCAGGAGCAGCACCAATAGCCTACGTATTGTAGGTTGAGGAAGGGCCCAGGCGGTGACCCTGGCGGCCTGTCCTGAGAACAGTGGTAGGAGAGGGCTGAGGTGTCCTCTTGGTGGCCACTCAGTCTTTAAATCCCTGAATACTGCAAAGAATGCGCTTCTGGTGCCCCGGCAGTGTGATTCCCATCTGCGTCAGGTCCCTGTGGAAGAGAAGCGAGGCATTGAGCCTGGTGGCCCAGCCCCCAGCTGCCGCCCTGTGCCCAGGCCACCCCTTGCCCCAGTGTCCGTACTCAGCCGTCAGCTCCAGCACACACTCCATGGTGTCCAGCCCAGCTGAGCGGAAGTGCAGAATGTAGCGCTTCATACGGATGGACTCCAGCCACTCGGCCACGCTTCGATAAGGGATCCCATCCGAGCCGCTCAGGCTGGGCAAGCGGAGTGTCACCCTGTGGAATATCAGACTGAGTCAGTTCCTGAGGGTTCAGGGGCTGGTTGGAATGGGCCTCGGCATCGCAGCCCGTGGGTGCAGAGATCATCTGGGCTGGGTGGATTAGTCGCCCATTGTCTGAACCCACATCCTGGGCTGTTTCCTGCTGTGGACAGCTGACTGATGGAGGAAAGTAGCTGCCCTGGGAGTCCCTGACAGAAGGGGACCCCAACCAGTCTGTTTGGGCACTTGCCTGGATGCTGGTTCAGGCATGAACCGAGAGGAAGTGGGGGGCAGGAGAGCAGGGGCCCTGTAGCGGGTGTGGTCCCACCTTTTTCCAGGGTGGCTGCTCGAGTCCTAGGAACAACCCACACTTTGCCACCTATTGTTGCGCTCTGACACCCGCAATACAATGAGTGTTCCTGTACTAAAGCCAGCCAGAGCCAAAAACCATTAGCAAAGTAAATCTGCTGGGGAGAAACGTCCAACATTCCAGAAAGATTAGCACATGCAGTCTCTAGCGTATGAGGGAACTGTGCTCCAAAAGATAGTTTCAAAAGTTGGAACTTGGAACACTTTTTCGCCCAGAAACAAGGTTATATATGGTGGTGTGATGCAGAGGGCAGTATGCCAGGCTGGTCCACTGATAAAGCACTGGGAGTACAGCCTGGCCTGGCCCAGCTCCTCCCCTGCCTGAACCCCTCCCACCACTTCTTTCTCCACATTCTAGCCATGTTCTTGGTAAAGTACATTTTTGACCCTCTCTCTCTCTCTCGTGGATGGTTTTGAAAAACTAGTCTCAACAGTTCTCTGCACTGAGGAAGTCCAACCTTCCCAAAGGGTCGGTTCCTGGCACTGACCCCAGCTGCCTCCCCAGCTTCATGGTGGCTGTCCCTGAGCTGGATGCTGCTGTCATCCTGCAATAGCTGCAGTCTTCTGGTCTTCAGCTCCCTGGACCCTCAGATTGGCCCAGTGGTCACAAGGCCTCCCCAGACTCCAAGGCTGTGCCTGCCAGTCCCATCTCAACCTAGTTGTCCAAGCTCCCTCGGGGCACCAGACCATAAGCCCTGCTTTGTCTCCATTGTCCAGCAAGTGCTCCAAAATGGTGCTCCAAAATGGATCCATTTGGTGCTCCAAAATGGGTCAAATGTGTGAACCTTTCCTCCACATGCAGGATATTTCTGTGAGGAAGGGGATGTATCCAATTCTCAGACTGGGCCACAGAAGCTCCCCAGAGATGTGGCTTTGGCCATAATACAATATAGTCAGATCAGAGAGAGATAGTTGCAGGAAGGGTTCTAGGTGAAGGCAGGGAATTGGCGTCAGGCTGTGATTTTCTGTGGGCTTGGTAATTGTGAGCAGACCTCTTTAAGTTGTACCTTTCTAAATTTTCCATGTGCATTCCACTTCAGTGTGCTTGTTTCCTATCTTCAATCAAAATACCATGGAGGTTGGGATCTTATCTCATCAGGGTGGGCTCTCCTCAATGAATCCTGCCTCCCATGCTGGACTCTGTCCAGAGCTCCGCAGGGGCCAACACTTGGTGGATGTAGTGGAGTGCCCATTTCGGTCCTTCCAGATCTGCCCTTTGAGTTCACCTGTCCTTTCCCAGCATGGTTACCTGGGGTCAAAGTTGGCAATGGTCCTCAGGGAGTGAGGGTTGGCAAGCAGTTGTTCCAGATGTGCCCGCAGCTGGAGGAAGTGGGGCCGACGGGCACGATCATATGCCCAGCAGTTCTTCATGAGTTCATACAGAGGGGCAGGGCAGTCCACAGGAGGGGGCAGCCGGTACCCATCCTCAATGCTCTTCATTACCTGTAGCAGGAAACAGGGAGGACAGCCCTAGGGCAGGAAGCTGACCTGCAGGCCTAGGACCAAACTGTGTTCACACAAGATCACTGCAATATAGCCTCAAAGCAATCCTGACCAGGTTGGGAATAGTAGAGAACATGTTGTGATGTAAAGGGACCAGAGAGAAACTGGGGTTAGGAAAATATTTGCAAGAAAGGACCATGGGAGGGATTTGAGAGGGGACAAGCGATGTGAAGCAGGGGTGACATGGGGAAGAATGTTCCAGACTTACCTCCTGATTGCTCATCTCCCCATAGGGCTTGTCACCAAAGCTCAGCACCTCCCACATCACAATCCCAAAACTCCACACGTCACTTGCCGTGGTGAAGATCCGATGGGCAATGGCTTCAGGGGCTGTCCAGCGGATGGGGATCTTTCCACCCTAGGAAGGCATGGGACAGAAAAGTGATGTGCTTTAGGGCATGAACAGGGGTGAAAAACAACAACAAGCGATAACACCACCACCACCACACACACACACACAAAAGACATGTGGGATGGGGATAGAAGGTTATTGTGTCTCAGGAGCACAAACACTTGTAACTCTACAGGTGTAACTGTATGGTTGATGGGTGATGGTGAATATGGACATGTACACGATGCATACTTGTCTCTAACCTGTGTTTCATAGGTACCATCAAAGTCGTCTAGGAGGCGGGTCAGGCCGAAGTCAGACACCTTGCAGCACAGGTTCTGACTCACCAAGATGTTCCTGGCAGCCAGGTCCCGATGGACATAATTGTGGTCACTGAGGTAGTTCATGCCAGCTGCTATGCCCTGCAGCATGGCCACCAGCTGCCCAGGGGCCAGCTGGTCCTCCCGTTCCTGCAGCAGGATGAGTGGGTGAGTCAGGGGATGAGCAGGACCTCCTTTCCCAAGGTTCAGGGCTCCATGGTATATCCCCCTCCCCAGCTGGTCCTCCACCTTCCTCACCTTCAGGAAGGCATCCAGGGCTCCATTCTCCATAAACTCTGTGATGATCATGATGGGCTTTCCTGAGACAGAGCGCATGCCATCACCCCAGAGCCAGGCTTCCTGCCCTTGGTAGCACACCCTCCACTGCTGGTGGTGTTACTCCCTCCTTCCCTCGCCCCCCTGCTCATACTCTTTGTGATGACGCCCTCCAGATGCAGAATATGTGGGTGGTTGAACTGGCCCATGATAGTTGCCTCTCGAAGGAAGTTCCACCACTGGCCATCTGGGGACGTGTCTTTCAAGGTCTTAATGGCCACAGTCTTGCAGTCCTGGCTGGGGAGCCTCAGAGTTCCTCGATATACTTCCCCAAACTCTCCTGGTGGAAACAAAACAAGGTTGTGGTCTCGGGCACTGTCAGGCTGCCCCAGGGTCAGGCAGTGACCCTTTCCTGTCCTCTGGCCCTCTCCTTCTCTGGGGGCACAGAAATGTGGAGTGCACCTCCTGGGTCGGGGATTGGTCTGTCTCTCCTAGGGAAGGGACAATCTGGAGCCAGCGCGGATCTCTGCTACCTGGTCCCACTGTCTTCTGGTGTTAGTGCACTACTTGGCTTGTGGTAGGCGCTCACTAAATGCCGGGGAAATGGGCCCTGTGCCGTGGGGCCGCTGTGTTTGTCAAGAGCAGGCCCAAGTGGCGGGGGAGGCTGATCCTTGCTGCCTTTTCCCATGAGCTCCCTGGTCACGGCTCAGCTGGCTTGGCTGCACAACTGGCAAGGACACTGCCAAGCTTTGTTCTCTGCTCAGATCTATTTCCTCTGGTGACCTACAGGATCAGGGCAGCCCAAGGACACTGGGCCCCTGATGGGGTGGAACGCTGGGAGGCTCTGAATCTCTCCCACTTTTGGGAACCGTCTGAGAACAGCCTGAGCCCTAGAAGGCAACACCTCTATGGGCAGAGATGATTTGTTTATCAGAAAACTCACAAGCCCAGAGCAAAGTGTGCGGCAAGGAAGGTTGGCTCCAAGGCTCCTGACATGAATGCCGCAGCTCAGAGTGGACACAGGGCAGAGCGAGTGTGAACTCATCTGGGAACTCTGGGACCAGAGGAGAGGCCAGCTTGGGGTCCCCAGGGAAGGCCCGAAGGAAGCGGCCTGCTGGCAGCTCTGTGCTACCACACGGAGAGGACCAGCTGTGGAACACCAAGGAGATCACCTTCCCCGATGACGGTGTCCACGATCAGCCAGGCTGGATCAAGCTCCTGAGTGAAGTCCAGGGCTCCCTGCGCAGGGTCCTCATAGGCCTGGAGGTCCACGTAGGGCTTCAGCCACAGCTTGTCCTCTGTGGGAGGACAGGGGGCTCAGCAATAGCAGCGTCCCCTTCAGGGCTTGGGAGTATGGAGGGGGTGAGGAGGAAGGGGCTGACAACTGAGCCCACTCCTCCCACACTTCTCTGCTGCCCGAGGTGAGCCCTGGCTCAAGTGGAGGACAGTCTCTATTCGTAGCAATGAAGTCTGCCTGGCCTAGCCTTTCTTCTTCCGGTCTACCTCCAAGCTCCCCTCCTCACTCCTCAGGGTCCACAGCAGGGGTCAGGACCCAAGCCTGGACAGCGAATTTGCTGCCAACTTGTTACCCAATCTTCCTATGGCTCATGACCTGGCCTCAGACCCCAGGCCCCTCCAGTCAGTCACACCTCATTCATTCCCAGATGAAGCCTTCCTCTCACTCCAGCCACTTGGATGGACCACAGATTTCCCTTTGGCAAGGCCACCTAATGAGGTGACAAGCAGGAAGCCCACATGCCTCAGAGGACCCCAATCCCCCGCCTGACTGGCGTTGGTCTCCGCTTACAGACCTGGCCACCATCGTGGGGAAGGCTCAGGGCCCAGCGCGGCAGTGCAGCAGCACCAGTGCCAGCAGCTAACTGCACCCGAGCCGCGCTGGACCATCTGGGCAGAGTTAATTAACCAACGTTAATTAGGTGGCAAAACACGAGAGCCCTAGGGACAATAAACCCCACTTGCGCGCCCCAAGCTGAGCTGGCAGATGTGGGTCCCTCGTTTGTGTCCCAGTGGCCACACACACACACACACACACACACACACACCAGCATGCATGGGTACTGCTGGCTCACCTCGATCCACATCAGTGCGGCGGTCCCGATGCCTCTGCTGCCGTTGTCGCTGGACTCTCCTGTGGGAGCGGAGCAGCTCCTTCAGGGTCCCAGGACCACGTGTGTGGCCCAATGGGCTCTGGCTGAATTTACCCCAGAAACAACAGGGGTTGGGTGTGCAGGATGGGAGTGGGGCCACCTTGAGCTTTGGAGCTAGAGGATGGGAGGGTCATCAGGGCTATAGTCAGGACTTCTGACCAGACACAGGGACCCAGGATGGGTGAGCAGGGAAGAGGCAGGAGCCAGCACCTTGAATGGAAGACGTGAAGAATCCCAATCAGCAGAGCTACAACAAGCAGCAACCCAAAGATGATGGCCACAATCTCTCCTCCAGTCAGGCTCCTGGAAACTGTAGACACAGATGGTGAAGAAGTCCGGCGTTCAGAGTTCACAGGGGTGATGGGAATTAAAAGGCAGTTAATATGTGCTATGTGTCTGTTCCCCACACCAGGGAGACGGGGTGTGTAGAGAAGAGGAATAGGAGCAGAGGTGCTTCTATGGGATGACAGGGGGATGTGTTTGGGGCAGAACAAGAGAGAACCCACCTGGCGGGCTTGTCCGAAACTCATGGTCAGGGGAGAAAGGGCCAGGGCCCAATGGGGTCAGCATTCGAACTCTGACGATGTACGTGGTATCCGGCTGCAGTTTTGTCAGCAAGACCCTGGGTTCTAGAACCATCTGGTGCCATTCTTCATCCTGCGGGTGAGACTTGTGTTAAATGGGCTGTGCTGAGCCAGCCCCTGGAAGTGTCGGAACATGTGGGGAGAGGCTAACCAGCAAGGTAAGCCCAGAGTTCTCTGAAGGTTTGTCCTGAGAAAGTCACAGTTTGCTGTGGGTGCTTTCCCCATCCCACATCCTGGGCTAGGAACGTTGGGGTGTGCCCAGGCAGGGACACCAGAGGCATCTCCCAGCAGCGTCCTGACCTGGTTCAGCACGTGCAGCTCATAGCTCAGGTTGCCCCCAGGACTGCGGGGCCGGGACCCTGCCCAGGTCAGCTCCAGCTGCTTTGGTTCTTTCTTCACCAGCCTCAGAGACAGGCCCGAGAGTGACTCTGACAGTCCGGAGGGACACACATGGATTTGGAAGGAAAGAGGGAATAACTTAAGTAGCATTTCAACTGCTTCCTCCCCATCCCTCATGCCTGTGGTCCTAGGTCCTCTGTTTGCTCCAGGTGCCTCACCTGCATGCCCCATGTTGATGCTGAGGGAGGCACCAGTGGGCGGGTGGGAGCTGCCCAGCCCTGACACTCCGTTTTGGGATTTGATGTTAAAGGTGTAGTTGGCATTGGGTTCAAGGCCATCGACTTGCACAGTAGGCGTGGTGAGCCCCTTGGCACTAGGGGAGAAGCGCACGCCCGTCCCACAGGGCTGACAGGGACCCCTCTCCTGTGCTGGACCCTGACACTGCAAACATTCCACACTGTATGTGACGTCTCGGCGTCCTCCCATATCTGTGGGGGGTTCCCAATGCAGGGAGAGCTGAGTCCCCGATGCAGAGAAGCTCAGGTTTTGTGGAGCCGATGGGGGACCTGTGGGAGAAGAGCCATCTGTAGGTGCCAGCTTTGCTCTCACCCAGGCTGCTGACTCCCACCCCCACCACAATTCCCAAAGTCCTCCAAAGCCTTCGTAGAGAGAGACTTGACTTCTACTGAAGAGAAAGTGACAGAAGCACATTTCCGTGTTTTCCCAGGGAAAGCAGGGGACAGGGGAGGGGCTAAAGCAAGCGCCTGTCATCCTGGCAGTCTCCAATATCTGATAAGCTCTAGAAAATTCTGATTCAAACAAGGGCTCAGCAGAGGTCAAGGGTCTCTTCCCAGACGACTGTGCCCTGCCCCATGGACTCACGTGTGCATGCCATCTGGGAGTCCTCCCCAGGGGCTCGGTAATGGCCGTTTTCACAGGTACAGATGGTGGCCCCCTCAGACGGGGCTGTGCTGTGCAGGGGGCACTTGAGACAATGGGGTGTGTCCATGTCCGTCCGGTAGGAGCCCTTAGGGCAGGCTGGAGAGAGGATGAAGTGGAGTCAGTTTCCCAGTGTAGAACTAAAGGCACCCCTCTCTCCACTCCAATCCCTTATACCGGAAACACCTCTGCAAATGTGTCCCCAGGGCTCTTAGGCTAAAAGTCACCGGATGGAGCACTGGCTTCCTTCCCTGCCTTGGCACCCAGGAGGCCCTCCCAGTGGCCCTTGAGGATTCTCACCATGTCCTTCCTTACCAGTGCATTCCACACCACTGCTGCCTTCCTCGTAGCCAGGCTCGCAGTGACACCTGCCCACTGGCACCAACCACTCGCCATCGGGGCTGCAGTGCATGCGGGGCACGCCCGAAGGCCCAGAGCTGGCCTGTGAGTGGGGAAGGCAGGTCCCCGCCACTTCTACCAACCCACCAGGACCAGGGAGAGTGTCAGGGAATTGGGCCAAGCCATGCACAGCCTCAGGACAGCGCTGGTAGAACACCCGCACAGACACCAAGGCCACACAGGCACCAGGGTTGTGGAAAGCAAGGTAGAGGCCGCGGCGAGTCAGGCGGCCCAAAGAGCAGCGCTCGACGTTCAGCTTCACAGCGCCAGATGCAAGGTCTCGAATGGTGAAGCTCTGGTCTGCAGCCACGGTGGTTACCTGGGAGGAAGGGTGAGAGAAGAGGCAGTGACAGCAGAGCCATGCTTCATCCCACGGAACAGGAGAGCTTCCCTAACCTGGAAATCCAAAATCCGAAATGTTCCCAAACACAAAACTTTTTGAGGACCTACATGATGCCACAAATGGAAAATTCCATACCTAACCTCGTGACAGGTCACAGTCAAGGTACAGGCACACTAAAAACATTGCATAAAATTACCTTCAAGTTGTGTATAGAAGGTGTGAATGACACATATGAATTTCATGTTTAGAACAGGGTCCCATTCCCAGATGACTCATTATGTATTCACAAATACTCCAAAGTGCAAAAAACCCTGAAGTCTGAAACATTTTTGATCCCAAGCATTTCAGACAGGGGATACTCAACCTGTACTTTACAATTTACTCAATCGTGAAGGAAGGACTTATTCTGTGTGAGGAACCTGATTAAGTATTTTGAATGTGTTATATTATTATTCAGCCCATGCAATCACCCTATGGGGTAGGCTGTCTTATCATCTCTACTTAACAGATGAGGAAACTAAGACTAAAAGAAATTAGAGACCTTGTATGAGATCACCTAGCTATGACATTATGGGGCTAGGACTGGAACCCAGCAAGTAGGACTGTACTGTCCGTAAAATTTCCACCACTGGGAGGTGGCACCCAATCCTGGTACCTATGTGGTGATCAGTTATAGAGCGTGTCAGGACTAATTTATTGCTAATAATAAATTTTACAACATGCTCTTTGGAAAGAAATGAGAGCACATCCCATAATATATGCTCCTTGGGCAGGGGTTGTGGCTCAGTGGTAGAGCACTTGCCTAGCATGCGTGAGGCACTGGGTTTGATTCTCAGCACCACATACACATACAAATAAATAAAGTAAAGGTCCATTAACAACTAATTAAAAAAAATAATATGCTCCTTACTCTTTTACATTCACTATACTTCCTGAGTGGGAAAGAAAGGAACAGTATTGAGAGATCACAGGTAGGGAAATGTCCTGTTACAAAATTCTAGCTATATTTTTTGGGGTGTTAGGAAGACAAGCATCAAGGATAGACAGAAATTTCTAAAACCTCAGGACTACATTTCCCTCTTCTACCGTGGCATCCTGTTTTCTTACTGGATGCAATTGAAAGACTCTAAAATAGATAAGGCTGGCCCCATTATAATCACTATTTTATGATGAGGAAATTAAAGCTCAGAGAGGTTAACAGGCACAGCAAAGAGGTCCTCAAATCTAGCCTTTCTGGTTTGTAGTCCCACATTCTTTTCATTATTCTATGCCTGCACTCTCTTGTTGTCTCTGTCACCTTCTGTTTCTTCTTAGCTGAGCAGGGTCATGGTAAGGAGCCAGGCAGGGATCAGTGCCAAGACCAAGATGGCATGGAGGAGAAGCAGTACCTTTTGGAACAAGGGCCGTCGGAGCTGGATGCCCACGTCCTGGTCACTCTCCATGTACAGAAGGTTGAAGGTCTCCTTGCAGCCCAGAGGCCCAGCTCCTCCAGGGAAACTCTTGCAGTCACGCACAGTGAACTGCAGCTCTACGTGGACCTGCGAAGCCTCCTCCCCTCGGTAGATCCAGTTGGAACGAAGCCAGTGTTCAGTGTCTCCACCCTCCTGCAGTGGGCAGTCCTGGTACATGTACAGGGGTGTCCCGTTCAGCATCTGTTGCACCTCACTCCACTGTGAGAAGAGAATCAGAGTCAGGGACCAGAGTGGACAAGGAGGAAGCTGGTGTCAGAGTCCCTAGGGTCATACTTCTTAACCTGCCTAACCTGACTGCTGGGCCACAGCAGAGTAGGCTTAATGTTGAAAGTTATGAATTACTTGGACAGTAATTCCTGGCCAGTTCTGGCCCCCTCAGTTAGCCTACTCAAACTACCGGAGTGTGAGCACCAACTTTTACCTATTTGATCAGCAGAGCTATCAGGTACCCTAAAGGCAAAGTTATTCACAAACCCTTTCTATTCATTTGTTCAAAGAGGAGACTTGTTTTGCAAAGAAGTAAAACCCCTATGCTCTTGGAGGACAAAAACAAGTATAGAATGGTCTAATAGGGGAATCTCACCTTATCCAATATTCCTTCCAGTTACAGCCATTATCAAAGTCAATTGGGAAAGTGGGCTGTGCTCTCAGGTACCATCTAGTCTGCCCCCTTAACTTCCTTTACTTTAAAAGACATTTTACACCTAGCAATAATAATGCCCAGTACGAAAGAAGCCCTTTCCATGTGGATGTAAGGCCCACCAAGGCCCAATGGCTGAGTGTCTTGCTCACTTGCCGAGTTTGGACATGAAGCCAGGTACTTCAAGCTCCAGAGTTTATTTTTCCTGTACTAGAGGCTGAACTCAGGACCTTGTGTATCCTGGGGAAGTTCATTACCACTGAGCTACACCCTTAGTTTTTTCCTTAGTTTTCTTTTGAGACAAAGTCTCACTACATTGCCCATGCTGGCCATCCTCCTGCCTCAGCCTCCTCAGTCACTGGGATTACAGCCCTGCACCACTGCAGCTGGCTGGGATTATTCTCCTAATTATCATGCCTCTATGTGCTTATTATATAACGCCAAGGAATAAAAACATACACAAAATAAAGAAAGTCCTCCCATCCTTCCACCCTCATCCCCAGAGGTGGCCTAGCCTAATAATTCTGAGTAAAACTTTTCACCTTGCTTTTGATGGTACTTCTTGCTAATTTAATTTACATTTCATTGAAGAGGAGGCTGTGTGTTTCTCTTCTGTTTATTGGCTATTTATATTATGTGCAATTATGTGTGTTTTTTTTTTTTTTTTTTGAGGGGGGTAATGGGGATCGAACTCAGGGGCACTTGACCACTGAGCCTCATCCTCAGCCCTATTTTGTAGTTTATTTAGAGACAGGGTCTCACTGAGTTGCTTAGGGTCTATCTAAGTTGCTGAGGCTGGCTTTGAGATCCTCCTGCCTCAGCCTCCCAAGCTGCTGAGATTACAAGTGTGTGCCCGGTTTGTAATTATGTTTTCAGAATCTTGCCTGTTTTTTTTTTTTTTTTTTTTTTTTTTTGTGTGTGTGTATGTGATAAGGTACTAGAGATTGAACCCAGGGACACTGAGCTACATTCCCAGACCTTTTCATACCTTATTTTGAGACAGGGTCTTGCTAAATTGCTGAGGCTGGCCTTGAATCTGTGATCCTACTGCCTCAGCTTCCCAAGTCTCTGGAATTGCAGGAATGCACCTTTGCCTGATGTTCTATTATTAACATTTGATTATTCATTTGGATGAGTTTTTTTTTAAACATAATATCAGTATTAATCATTTGCTTGATTATGTGTGTTTCAAATGTTTTCTGCCATACCACTTCTTTGTTAATGATATCTTTGAGGTGGCTGTATATTTTTAATTTTTACATAATAACATCATGATTTTTTTTTGTGTTGTGTATTTTGCTTGAGAGTCTCATCCCCAAATTATAAAAATCTTCTATCTTTTTCTCTTAAATTTTATGTGTGTTTGATTTTTAGGTTTAGATTTTAATCTCCCTAGAATTTATGTGCGCATTTATGTGTGTGTGTGTGTGTGTGTACATAGTGTTAAGTGAAGAGGTGTCTACTTTTCTTTTCTTCTTTGAAATTACAGGCATCCAATGGTCAATTTAATAATTAGTCGTCAATACTTTCGATACTTATGGAATCAACACATACGTCCCCAAAATTTAGTTCTCTTGCATATTCTGAGAAACTATAGATACAGAATTAACTAGTAAAAGGAAAATTTACATGTCTGAAGGAAATCTACATTAGTAAGGTATCTATACCAGGAAGAGGACTGCTTTGAGGTAACTTCTAATACAGGAGAAGGCTCTGTACCTGCACAGCAGGACAGCCTTTGTTCACCCTCTCAGCTTGTGATCTGAGTGCAGGTTGCTGCCTCTCACCCCCAGTTCCTTTCTTCAGCTCAGGATTGTGTGCATGCATCAGTCATCTGACCCTTTCTCCAGTCTCATATTTTGTGGACTTCCTGTGTGTATGAAGGTTAGTTAAAATACGGTTTCTCCCATTACTATCTATTCCAACGGCTCACTTATAGAAATGTTAGAGGGTAGAAAGTTTTCCTGTCCCTTACAATACTTTCCACATTGATTTCCAATTCCAATGTCATCCACATTAAAAGATATGTGTGTTTGTTTTTGGACTTTCCATTCTTTTCCATTGGCCTGAGCATTTTTGTCAAGCCATCTGTTTTAATTATTGTTGCTGTTCTGAAATCTGCTGGTAAGACAAGTTTCCCATTTTATTCTTCTTCAAAAAATATGCTGTTATTCTTAAGTATTTTCTGTGCCAGATGAACTTAAGAAAGAAGCAGTCCATTGATATTTTGGATTCTACCTTGTAATTTGATAAAGAAGCAACAGAGGCCCTAAGAAAGTTCCCTTTCCCTGGTTTTACTCCACTGCAGTACGTGGGCTTTTGTGCCTACTCTCAGCTCTGGGAAAAGACAAGAGAAAGCATCATGAATTAAGAATTGTTAAAGGGGTGGGGCAGAATTATAAGCTGCTGTGAGGCACATCTTTCTGCATTATGTTAGAGAGTGCATAGTTAGCAAGAGTTGTCTGAGAGGAAGGGGGCTGGAATGCAAAGGCACCTCGTGGGTGACTGAGGAAGCCCAGATGGGAGCCCTAGTGAAGGGCACTGGGCAGGGCAGGTGGATGGGTTGGTGGGTGGTTCATGTGCAGCTCATTAGCCAGATTGCCAGGGCTGCAGCTGGAGCCTGGAGAAGCAGATGTTCCCAGCTGCAATCTGCCTCTCCCTATTCCAGCAGTGACAGATGGGGGAGAACCAGCCAGCCAGGAACAGCACTAAGGATCCTTTCACTTACCACTCAGGCACTGCTGGCTGGGTCATGGGTGCATTCTGGGGATCCTGATGTTGAGTGTGTGTGCATGTGTTTTGGGAAGATGAGGGGGTCAGAGGAGAATGGAAGCATGTGACTGCTGGTTGTCTTCTTGCCCTCCTAATGCAATACTGTTTTCTCTGTGAGGCTGAGAAAGGGGCCTTGTTCCCATTCCAGTCCAATTAGAGGAGAGTTATTTGGGTGGAGGTGGCAGGGGCACACCAAGGCCCACAGGAGCCAGCAGATAGACCTGCAGCCATCATTGTGAGGTGATTAGCTGGTTTATGAGACAAGGCGCCTATTAGGGCTGGCTTAATCCAGGATTTCCCACGCTGCCCCTCCTGGAGGTTACATTATGGTTTAGTTTATTAATTCTAATTATGGGCCACTCTGGGAAAGCAGCAAATGGAACCAGGACCCTCATACCAGGAAGGAAAAAAAGCAAGTAACCCTGACCTCCAAAAGAGACTGAACTGAAATCTCAGGTCCTACAGTAAGGAAGACACTACTGAGGAAACCAGGGTGTAGGACCCATGAGTGTCCAACTGCTCAGGCAGCTTCCTGTGCTGCTGTGGCCAGCTCTGTTGGGAAGCAGCAAGAGTGTTCTCTGGACTTCACGTCCTAATATGCTCTCTGGGACCCACCCACAACTGACCTCTGCTCACTCTGTTACAGGGACACACAAGGAAGAATGGACTTAGTGCAGGCTCTTGCATCCTCCACTGACTGTAATACCTCGGGTAGAGGAGCCTGCCTGCGGGGTATGAAGAGTCGAAGACTCAGGGACCTTGAGGGGAGCAGCTTGAAGATCCGAGGGAGTCAAAGATCCCTTGAAGAATCTGAGGAAAGCTTTGGCTCTCCTCTCCAGAAACGTAACTTAGAATACACTTTTGGATGGTCCCTGACTCCCTGAAGCTTTGTCAATGCAACTCTGCTGGAATGAGCAGAGCTGGGTAGAGGATGCTTTCTGGTGTTTCTGTCCCTCCCGGGGCAAGGCTGTGGTCTCAGCCCTTGGCCATGCCCAGCATTGGACATTCATTGTCTCCCTGGAAATGGGGGCTCATCTCCTACTCTGGTCCTCTCAAGAATTCGCCCCTGGAGCAGAAAGGGAGAGGAGCAACCAAGGAGGCATTCCCCATGAGGTGAAGACTGACCCTCCCCCCCCATGTCCCATTCAGGAGGCTCTGACTCAGCCTCCCCTCCCCCTCCTGGAGGAGACACTTCCAGTTTTTCCTGCTCTTTTTGGTTCCTCCACCCACCTCTCCACCCCATTTCCCATTGGCCTTCAGCCTTGAAGCACCCCAGATCCTTCCTCCCGGACACTTACCCCATCCTCTGGGGGATCCAGCAGCCAGCCCAACTCTCCCTGTGCCATGCTTGTGTCCATTAGAGTGACTGAAGGTGGAGGAAAAAAGAGCCTGTCATCTGGGGGGGCAGAGGTATATGCAACCCACATTCCTCCTCTGGAGCTCCAGCCCCAAGCTCCAACATCCTCTTCCAAACAGTTGCCACATCCTGAGGCTTAGGAGAGCAAAAGGGCCCAGGACTGAGGAATGAAGAACTCCAAGGGTTCCATTGTTTTCCTTCAGAATGTGAAGGGAGCAAGGCAGAGCCAGGCAAGGGTTGGAGTGTGAAGCTTTAACCAAAGCCAAGACAGGAAGCAAGAGGAAGAGCAGCTCCAGAGAATTGCAAGGGCTCAGTCATCCGGGGCTGGTGTGGCTGGACACCCATCTATCTACTGCAGAGCTGCAGAGTGGATGGCAGGCGGTGCTAAGCCCTTGGGAATACTTAGTGGGCCCTGGAAAGGGACTATTGGGTAGGGAACCTGATTCTAAACTTCTGTCAAAGGCCTGCACTGGCCTGTAACTGGGGGTAGTGGGTGGGAGTACCAGCACAGCTCCAATTTTGGGAAGTGTGGGGAGCAGCTTCATTAAGGGTGTGCATGCCTTAAGTGCAAAATTTGGCCTCTATCTCTCTATCTGAGCCTAACCCTTCCCCAGGATGGCAGGTCCCTCTGTTGCATGGCCTGGACTGGCAAAAAGCAACTTCCCATCTCGGACTTCGGTGGGCATCGATCTCTGGGTTGGGCACCTGAGGTTGGGATCCCTGGTTTGGGAATGAAGGGTCCCATGAAGGATGGGGTCAGGATGCAGCTTCCTGGCAATAGTCAGGAATTCCCTCTCCACCCCCAGGCAAAGACTGCTGGCCAGCAGGAGTCGGGGTGATTGACCCGGGACAGGCGGGACAGCTGGAGCTTGGGGTTAAAGACCAAAGACTGGCGTCGCCAGTCGATTGCCCAGCGGACCCGGCAAAACAAGGGAGCGGGAGGGGGCGCAGGAAGGAGGGCCTCTCAGGAATGCCGGCTCCTGCAGGAGAGGCCGGCCGACCGCGGAGGGGTGGGGGCGGCGAGGGCGGGGGTCGGTACCTTCCTCGGCGCGCGCCCCGGGGGGCAGCGGGGCGCAGAGCAGCAGCAGTAGCCCGAGCCCCAGGGGCCAGCGCCGCTCCATGGCGCGGGGCCGGGACCTGGGACCTCGGCCCCCACCGCTGGGCCAGGTCGCGAGGGACTCGGTGAGCCGGGAGGGCCGGGCGGGGGCGGGGGGCGGGGATAGCGCCGGGGGCGGAGCCCTTGGCTCACCTGGTTCACCTTCTTAAAGGGATAGTAGGACAGGAAGGAAACTTGTTAGACAGGTAATAAACTTCAAAACCTGGAGGCGTCTTGACCGGAATGAGGCTGCGGGCGTCGTCTAGTGGTTGGAACCGGGAATTAAACCTTTCCCAGTTCTATCCCTGACCCAGTCTTGATCCGGCCTTGAATGTAAATCTACTTCTGCTGTAATTACACCCGTTTTCCCTTCTCTACTTTTCTGCAGACCCTAGACCTGTAATAGACCCCGGGAAAGGGAGGGGTGAGAGACACGCCTTCATCCTCCGGTGCGGGAGGCTTAGATAAAAACAATGCAGCCGGTCCAACCCGTAGCACAGTGGAGGGGCAGACGGAAGAAGCGTGCCCAGACAGTGGGCGCACTAGGGCTGTCTCGGGAAGAAGTTGGTGTCACTTGTGGCAGAGTCTGGGTAAAGCAAGAGAAAGGGCCTGAAGGCAAGTAACCCCAAGGCGCGCTCAGGAGGGGTGAATGGACCTGTTTGACGGCTGGGGCACAGAAATTGTCTTGGGAGCCAGAGCAGAAAGGCAGGCGCGGGCCAGATCAAGGACGGTCTTTGTAAACATGAGAAGGAGTTTGAACCTTGCCATGAGCGAGCTGGTGAAGGTTCCGGGTACAGGGGGCAGAAGGCACCTACTGCCTACCTATCTAGTGGTGTCAGCCTGGGCCCTCCCACTCTCTTGGAGACTACCTCTGTCTTACCTACATATGCTTTAGGTTCTGTAAGCGCCGAAGAAGAGTAAGACAATCCTGCCCTAAATAAGCATTGGTTTGAAGGAGCTCGGGACTGGAGATAACCCAAGCACCCAGAGATCAAAATGGTAGAGAGATCTCCCTTGGCGGTGCAGACGGGGGAACAATGCACCCATTGAGGGCTGTACCACCGGAAACCCTTATTCCTTCACCCCTCCTGGCTCTATCCCACTGAGGGGAATTTTTGTAGCTTTTTTTTGTTGTTGTTGTTGTTTTTTTGATCATTTAAACTAATGCATGTTTTGGTCACTGTGAAGGAAGGGAGGTGATAAATTATAGATGCTTATTTTATGTTTAAGAATTAATGTTTCCAATTTTCTTCCTTTTTAAAAATACAGATTATGTATAGGATGCATATGGCCCATAATTTGGGCTAGCCAATTCTTATTGGCACAAATAAATAAGTGCAATTCATGTATATTGGTTAGAAAATTCACGTTGAACAGAAAGAAACTAAATGGGAAGTAGAACTCTCCCTCTTCCCACCCTCTGGTGTCTGTCCCTCTTGTCAGCCACCATCTGCTATTTCTTGTGGTTCCTCCTGGGACTTTTCCCTGTGTGCACATCATCATGACCACCATATATCATCCCTCCCTCTTCCCTTCACTCCCACGCTCATACCTGCTTTTAAACTATCTTTGGATGGCCACATGATGTGCATTGCTGGCCACGGGGGGCCTCTTCCCTGACTTAAGGACTTTGAGAAGGAGGAGGAGGAGGCTCCTTCTGGCTCTCTGGGGTCAGAGCTGTGTGATTTCAGGCAGGAGGAATGGGCCAAGGGTGCAAAGCCAACAGCAGGGGGGAAATGGAGCAAGCTTTGGACAATCGCTTCTAGGAAATAAGCCAGACGGTGATGAGGTAATGCATGTGCTTGTTGCTGTAGTTTGTTAAAGTTAGAAGACCCTTGGGACTCAGGGGGTGGGGGGCCGGCACCATGCTCTGAGAGGCGGAGTCTGCATCCCTGGAAAGGAGGCTTGCTTGTGTTTTAAGATAGATCCTCTCTGCTGTTCTGAAAGTCTCACTATGGGAAATGAATGTCCTTCTATCTTCATTCAGGAGGATCCTAATTGAATACTTCTTCCTTACACATGGGAGAGGAGGCAGACCTTTGATTTTAGACTATCTTGACTAATAGCACAACTGCTTCAAGTTACTTGTACTCTCTGGCTTCAGTTTCCCTAGATCCGTGTGATCTCTAAGACCAGGGGTGGTCCTGAATAAGGGAAAGATAGCAGCATTCTGACTCAGAAGACTTAGGCTGGTTCTCTTAGCCATCCTGTGCCTCAGTTTCCTTACTTATAAAATGGGATGAATCATGCTCACCTCATAGAGTAACTGTCATGATCAGGAGATGAGAAAGTGTCCCATTACTTGTTGAATACTGAGCAACGCTGCTTTACTAGGAGAATAATGGAGACCAGGACCCAGTGCAGCTGTGCTGGTTTCCCAGCTTACTCCAGGAGCAGAACGACCTAGATGAGTAAGACATCATATTTTTCCCTTTAAAATCAACTTTATTAAGGGATAACATGCATAAAATAAATTGCACCACCCCATGTGTATAGGTCAGTGGACTCTGAAAAAAGCATGTGTCCTTTGTCTGCCCCTCTCTGTCAGATGGAGAATGCTTCCACCCTCTGGAAACATTTCCTCACTCCCCTTTGAATCAGTTCCACTTCTGGCCTCAGGCATCTGTAGTATCAATAAGTGTGGCCTTTTCCAGAATTTTGTGTAGTCTCTGGAATTCAGCTTTTTCTTTTAAGCTTGTCATCCCAAGATCTATCTCACTGCAAACTAATGTTGTTTACTCCTCTTTGTATTGAGCAGTATCCCCTGTATGAATATTCTAAGACATCATTTAACAATTCAAAGTCGAAACCGAAAATCCATCCTCTCCTCTGATATCCTAGAAGCCATGAGCTCACTCCTAGCCGACAGGAGATCTTTCCTTCTTCCTTAGAAAGAACCCAACATGCCTGGCATTGTTGTCCATTCTTCATCCAGGAAGGAAACCTACAGAATCTCTACACCTGGGACTTCCCGGGCCCTGACTTGTCCCTGCAGCCTGGACCTTTCTGGCTAACTTGTTTATATTGTTCCCTACTTCCCTCCCACCCTGTCTCCTTTCTGACCTGGGGTAACGTAAAATCACACCAGCCTAGATCCAGGTCTTGAATGTCCATAAGGCTTGGCTGAAAGGCAACGCATGTCACCAGGAGGCTAACCCAGCGAATGGCTGGTAACCATTAGGAGGCCATTAGTACAAATTAATTTATCAGATGAATGTCAGGTCTCCTGGCAAGGGCCGGTATGGATGGGACCAAAACTACTTTGTGGGCTGCATGGGACCAGCCTACACTTGTAGGCAACAAGATTCAGGAGACTGTGTGGGCAGAGGGAGGGGAAGAAACAGCTCCCTCCTGTGCAGCTTTCTGGTGAATTCTGCACAACTTTGATCATAAGCCTACTTCCTCCTTCCCTTTCCCTCTCACCCGTGCTCTATCTCTTCTCTGATCCTGGTTTGCTCTCAGGCATGGGGTGGGGATAATAATAGTCACCGTTTATTACAGCACCTACGCAGGCTGCCAGGCACTTTACATGCATTATTTCACTTATTTCTCACACCAACCCTTTGAGGAAGGTATTATTAGTCCACTTTATAGATGGAAAAATCGGAGGCACAGGGAGCCTAAATTAATTGTTCAAAATCACCCAGTTGCAGACCAAGGATTTGAACCCAGTTCTGTGTGACTGCTTGGCCTGCATCCCTAACCCCTACCCAACCCTAACCCATACTCAGGATATCAAGAAGCACGGGTATTGGGGAACCCCTATTTTATTTTACTACTCCCGTTCAACCCCTTACAAGTAACAAGTATCCTGACTTAAAACACCATGGATTTGGTATGGAGTCACCCAAAATGCATTTCGTGTTTTAAGTTCTTTCATTGTGGGTGTGAGATTTAGTCACGCAGTGTGTTGATCCAGGCTCCAAATGTATGATTCATTTTCATTCACTGTATGAAGAACACCTTATTTTTTAAAGACCTCTTGATCTATGGTTAAATGTTCTACACTTGAATTGTTGTATCTGGTGACACCCAGGATTTATCAGGCATGCTTCATTCTTCTAGAAGCTACTTTCATTTTCAGAGGAGATGTTTCGCTAATTCAAATGGTCACGAATTGATGAAGCATCTACACAGGGGGACTGTGAGCAGACACCAATTGTGTACCTGGCCCCCCACCTCTCAACGTTCCTCTCTTTTTCCATGTCACTTTGCCAAAAGTCAGGCACCTGATATTGTTTAGATAGCTGGATCTTTGTATATAAAATAGGGCTGTCTTGAGATAGAGACCTTGAGGTTTTCTCTGAGATGTCTGAAGCAAAGTTGTCTATTAGAAGGTCTCAATATTTGATATTAGATATCAATATGTGATATTAATAGCTATGTGATATTAGACAAACCACCTACTTTTTTCAAGCTTCAATTTTCTCATTTATGAGATGGAGAGATGATGATGCTGTGGTTTGAACATGTCCTTCAAAACTTCATATGTGGGAAATTTAATCCTCAAATTTGTATGTTAATGGTATTTGGAGGTGGGGACTTTGGAAGCCAATCAGGATTAGATGTGATCCTTAGAGTGAGGCCCTATGAAGGCATTAGTGGCTGTATCAGAAGAGAGATTCAAGGTAGAACCCTTGCTCTGTCTTCCCATGCGATGCAAACTACCATGTTGTGATGCAGCAAGAAACCCTCACCAGAGGCCAAGCAGATGCCAGCTCCATGCTCTAGGACTTTTTAGCTTCCAGACCATGGGCCAAAAAACCCTGTATTCTTTATAAATCATCCAGTGTCAGGTATTTTGTTATAGTAACAGAAAACTAATAAAACTAAAAACTGATAACGAGGTTGATCAAAGATACCCACCTTACAGCGTATGAAACAAGTAAAAATATGATGAAGTATTTGAGCAAAAGCTCCCAGGACCACTGAGCAACATAAAGATACAATCTTTTCATTTGTGTCCAGCACAGGTTCATTTACAAAGTAATTTTGAGGGAATTAATGGTAAAGTCGGTGGAAGGAATGAGGAAGGACATTGACTAGCATCTGTTCCTGGATTAAATGGGATGTTGGATGAAGCTCAAATCTCAAGAAGAGGCAAGACAAGACTAAAGAAGGAGCTAAGAGAAATCACTCCCGATCCATTTATATTATGAGGCCTTAGGTAAATACCACTCCAACACTTTCAGGATATATCACATTCCTCTCTGCTTTTATTTTTTTTTTTGTAAATCATGTACCTATCTCTACAATATTAAAATTCTCCAGAGCATTCTGTTTGTTCTAGGGGCAAGAAGGTGGTGGAGATGCTGTGAGCCTGCCCTGCATTCTCGTCTGGGCCCCATAAAAGAGGACGAATGGAGGGACACCTAGGGGATGGGCTCGATTCTGAAGCTGATGGGTGAGAGAAAGGGCGCTGAATGGGAATTCACTTGGGGTACGCATCACATCCAAGCGTGCATTTGGATAAAGCCTTTACCTCAACAGGCTCTTGTGCCATCCTTACCAGGTAACATGCAAAGCAAAATAAAGTCAATTCACAGTCAGCCTATTATTTCCATCGATTTCTGGAACAGTGAAATGAGACTGGGTAGGGGGTGTCAGTCCTGCGAAGGGCCTGTGGCTCCTAATTCCTTATGATAACACTCACGAATGTCTCATGAGAAATCATTGTGCTTCCTCCTTGACTTATTTGCTTGGCTGCCCGAGGAGACCAAGAATTAAGACGCTGCATTAATGCTTGGGCAGATAGGAGGGCGGGAGAGAAAGGAAGAGAACAGATGTGTCTCAGTGAACAGGGGCATGTCAGAAATTTAACAAGAACAAGTTGAGACAAGTGTTAAACACCAGAGTCCCTGGAAGCATGGTGATAGCTTGGTCCTTGTCAAAAAGTTTATCAGGTAGCTTTCAGCGAGCAAAGAGAAAATGGCAATCAACTGTTTTCAAGTTGATTTCAGTTTAGCTAGTGTGAAAGAGGAGCTATTTGAATACACCATCAGCCTTATCTTCTAAATGAGGCTGGCATGGTTAATTTGAAAAAACATGCGATTTTATTATTAGTCTAGGCTAGAAGCTCTGGGAAATTCACTTCTACAGGGGGCTGGGGAGAAGCCTGGCATAACTTGTACTTAACTTTTTAAACTTCTGAGTCCTGTGACTTAGAAGTCATATTGTATTGTATGTCTTATCAAAGAAGTATGTGGGGAGCTGGGGTTGTGGCTCCATGGTAGAGCACTTGCCTAGCATGTGTGACACACTGGGTTTGATTCTCAGCACCGCATATAAAATAAATGAACAAAATAAAGGCCCGCCAACATCTGAAAAAAAAAATTTGCAGTAAGTAGGAGACCTCTTAATCGACATAAATTGGATTTCCTTTAAATTTTGAAGTTTTCATCAAGGGATCATAACAGGCAACTTATGACTTCTTCTAGCTGGCAATTTATGAGTTCTAGCTAGAAATGTGCTTCTTTAAGTTTATACACATTGACATACACATATTTGAACATACAGATAACAACCATGTGGTAAGAAGTTAATGTACCTTTCCCAAACTGTTCCTGAGTTTGGAAGGGACCCAGGCCACAGGTCATAAAATATGAGAGCCACCTAGTGAGCAAAGTTGGTTACTGCACCTGTATCTTCAAATTCCAGTTATGCTCTCCAGGGATAACTTCTGTTTATAAAATCTTAGCCCATCATGGGAATATTTATCAACAGAATGTTAAAGCGATGGTAATTTTCATACATTCCTGTTATTATAAAAATGTGTAGACTCTTAGGTAGAAATTAGCTTTCTTAACTTGATTCAGTCATCCCGGGAATGATAGTCTGCCTGGGAGAGGAAGGAAGGAAGAGGCTTGCAATGATGTCATCTTACTTTTGGGCTTTCTGCTTTGGATGCAAAAAAATACTAAACAAGTTGTCTAGCAGGTGCAGGACAATCATTATTTATAATGTATCAGTTAGGATCTGAGCTAGAGAGTCAACAGGGGGAGACCGTAATAAAGAGGAATCCGGCAGGGAACAGTACATACAGGGACTTTCAGGACAATCTAAGGATGGCCTGTGAGGGATGGAAACAATTACAGGGGGCCCAATCAAAGGTACACTTTATGGCTTCCCTTTGATGAGATCACCCTGATTAGTGTTTAGAGAGTAGCTGAGGTACGGCTGGGGCAGGGGCTAGGGCCAGGGCAAAAACAGGGACAAGTCAGGAGGCTGTTGTCTCTGCCAAAATGAGGAGAGGGCTTGAAGCAGGGTGTCAGTGGATGTGCCAGTGGTGGTGAGAGTCAGTTGTGTGGCAGAGGTGATTTCAGGCCCAGGCAGGCAACAGCTTGATAGGTGCACAGTGGGAAAATGGCTGTCTGCCCAAGAGCCATGTGCAGTGTGGCTGGATGGGCTGGGCTGAGGTGAGAGGGAGGAGGGAAGATAAGCTCAGGAAGGAGGACTGGTGTTAGCCGTGGGGACCAGCTTGCAGAGTGTGGACTTTCTTCTCTAGTAACCCGGAGTCAGGCAAATTTTGAGCTTGGGATCCGTGTGCTGAGCAGAGTATTTTGAGTGGCAATGGGCAAATAAAAGAAGAAGTAGCAGAGGGCAGAGGCTGGATTCAGAGAGACAATGTTCCATGGAGGACATAGTAAGTGTTCAAACTTGAGCCATGCACGGAGGGAGGGACAAGGATGAGTGACATTCATTTGTGGACTCACACATGGATCGGCTAGCTAGACATGGAGGTGATGTGGACGCACATGTGTATTGGCTAACTAAACATGGAGGTGAGGAAATGTAGTCAACCCCTTTATCTTAGTGACCAGAGTCAAAATTTTGATTTTAAAAACCATATCTCAGTGTGAAAATAAAAGTGTTGGAATGAACTTCTGCTCTCCTGGAAAGATGTTTTAGAGACAATGATGGTGAATTAGAATTTTGTTTGTCCAAAGTAGGGTGTGTGTCCTGGGGAGACTTTGAGAAAGGGGATTTGTAGCAGAGAATGAGAGGCAGGGACCCAGAAAGGCCTGGAAGAGAGCAGTTGGGAGGAGACAGTGGAGCAGGCAGAGACTTGTCAAATGTCTTCAGGACACTCAACAGGGACATGATGATGATTTGCAGAGAGGTGTGGGATGGGATGTGGCCTCTTTCCCTGTCTCCCCACAGTGACTTCTGCATAACTGAGTTATTATGTGGCACCTTTGGGTTTAGTTTTGACTTTCTTGGAAGGATAGGATGCCAAGGACAGTTACCCATCACCAGCTCAGTCTTTTGGTTTTCCTCTGCTTCTTGTCACCTGGGGACAGAAAAAAAAAAAAAAAAAAAGGTGGGAATTTCAGTTAAATTCTGACCTTTTTTTTTCCCTGTCTTTTCTTCTGTTTCATGTGTGTAGTTCCTGCTGCCTCCTCTTCTAATCCTTCTGTTTAGCTCTGTGCTTCTGCTCTGTGATGTGAGTTTTGCTTTGTATCCTCCAAGAGTTCGGCTGGATTGAAAGTAAAGGTCACCATCTCTCTGCTCCTTTGCTCCTTCCAGTTCTCTTCCTACCACTGGTCTCGCCCACAGTCCTCCCTGTGGGTCTGGCCTTTTGTCAAAAGGTTGAATTTGTCCAGAAGGGAATCTGGAGGTTTACCCAATTCTTCAGTCTCCTTCTGTTTCCTTGTGAGGATTTCTTTCATCTTCCTTTATCACTTTTCCAGCTTCATATACAAACCTCACTAACTCTTTGCAACTCTCAGAACTTAAAAAAAAAAAAAAACAAAAACAGAAAAATGGCACACACCTTGTCAGCATTGGAATCATCATCACCTTTATCACAAAGTCTTTAGGAAGCACTGAATTGTAACTGGCCTGTTGGGAGAGCAGAGAACACACATGACTATCTTCCAGAAGTTCCTTTTGCCCTTTAGAGTTGAGAGTCCAACACCAAGAACCGTGGACTCTCCAGTACCATAGAAGTGACCAAATGTCCTAGTTTTACTGGTCAGTCCTAATTTCCTCTTGCTTTGATCTCCATCCTTTACTAGCGGTGAGACCTCAGGCAAGTCTTCTGATCTTTGCTGGCTTTGAGTGGAGACGGATCTTACCTGAAGTCAGGGACAGGACTTCATGATCTCCTAAAGGCCCTTTAGCATGGAGAGCAGGAATTTCATGAATGTTGTCTACTTGACTCCCAGAAACAAAAGTCACAATTGACCCAATATAATTTCAGAAGAATTCTCACTTTCTCACAGAGGATTGCTGAGATAAGGCGATCCTAAAGAAAGGAGGCGGAGGTAGGTGGGTGGCACACGCCTGTAATCTTAGTGGCTCAGGAGGCTGAGGTAGGAAGATTGAAAGTTAAAAACCAGCCTTAGCAACTTAGCAAGACCCTAAGGAGCTTAGCCAGACCTTGCCTCAAAATTAATGTGAAGAGGGCTGGGGATGTGGCTCAAGCGGTAGCGCGCTCACCTGGCATACGTGCGGCCCGAGTTCGATCCTCAGCACCACATACAAAGATGTTGTGTCCGCTGAAAACTAACAAATAAATATTAAAAAATTCTCTCTCTCTCTAAAAAAAAAATGTGAAGAATCTGGGGATGTGGCTCAGTGGCTAAGCACCCTTCCCTGGGTTCAATTCTTGGTATAAAAAAAATTTTTTTAAAAGAGGTGGATATATGATGTAGGTCAGGCCTTTAAAATGCATGGTGCTCTAATAAAATACAGGTTTCTTCTGCATACCTTTCCCAGTGTGCCTGGGACAGAGCTTTGGTGGTTATTTTGCAGTTCGTACAGGAACCAGAACTATGCTGAGAACTTCACATACATTGCAGTTTAATCTTATTAGAATCCGTATGGTCTGTCCATTTCATGGATAAGGAAACTGAAATCTCTAGAGGTCAGGTAACCATTTCGAGATTCTTCATCTAGTAATGGCAAAGGTGACCTTCAAATGCAGATGTCTGAAGCCAGAACTCAAACTCTCCATCACCACATCCAACTCTCCCCTATCCAAGAGGACGTGAGGAATCTTACTCATGTGAATAATTTGGTAGTGATGGCCAGGTTCTTGAGATCCTGGGGTGTAGATTTCTCAAAAAAAATAAAGGAGTAAAGAAGTAGTACAGGATGTTGCCCCTCTGATCCCTGGAAGGCAGAGAACTCTCATGCAGGTGTGAAGAGAGTGAAGAAGTCTGACCTGTCATGGGCCAGTGGTCCTGCCATGAATCTCTGTCAGGCTCTCTGGTTCCTAAGATGCCTGCCCACTGGGTGGATCCTGTGGGAAAATAGGTTCCTATGATCACCGAAGGGACTTGCTATCCCGAGTTGATGGATAGAGCAGACTCCTTGGAGGTAGGACCGCTCCTCTGCGTCTGGGAGCTGCAGTTCACTGGTGGTGAGGTGAGGTCACAGGCAGGCACGGCAATGGCCAAGATGGACAGCAACAGCGGCCGGCACAACAACTGTGGGAGCAGAGCCCTGAACAGCTGCACGAGGGTGTGGGAGCCCATGGTGGCCTGGGTCTGCAGAGACCCACAGACCAAGCTGGCAGGGAGCCCAGAGCCTAGAGCCATCGTGATGTGTCATTTGTCCCCCAGGCTGTGGGGATCTGGGAAATCACTGTATGACTGTGTACAAATGGATCTTTCATGTATAAAACATCTCTTTCCAGATTGGTCTTTTGCTGTGGGTGCTTCACAACAAGGTGAGTTTTGATTTTCTGTGAGACTTCATGCTGACAATAGCTTCTGAGAGGTACTATTTAGCCACACATGACCCCTGAGATTGCTCTGACTCCGTCACCTACATCTTGTGTGTCTATGTTTTTATGTAACTGATATCAGATGTATATGCTGTAGAAATTTTTCTAAAATTTCTTTACTCAGCTATCTCTCTTAGAAATTTTTCTATATTTTGGTACCCATAGATTTAACTAAGTTTTTAATAGTGTCAGAGCATTTTCTAGCACCATTTACCATATCTTTGAAATTAAAGTTGTTCTGGACAGTGCTTCTGTTATGGTTTGAATATGTTAAGGTCCATATGTTAAGGGCTCGGTCCCCAAGGTCTTGGGGTGTTGGAAACTTTGGGAGGTGGGGCCTGGTGGGAGATCCTTAGGTCACTGGGGAAGTGCTCTCAAGAGGTATTGTGGGACCACACCTGTACCCCCCTCTCTGCTCTGGCTTGACATGTGACCACTTGCTTCTATCAACACGCCTGCCATGCTGTGCCACCATCTCCTGCTTTCACTAGAGGTCAAACAAAAAGGGCTGCCTGATCTTAGACTTCAGAACTTGGAAACTGTAAGCTAAATAAAACTTTTCTTTTTACAAAATTAATTGCCTCAGATATTTTGTGGTGGTAACGTGAAGCTGACTAATACATTCCCCTTCCTATAAAAACATTGGGGAATGATCCCCATACACTGCTGAAATTAAATTCCCAGATAATGTAATTTGCTTAAACTATGATTGAAAACCAAGGTAATATTCCAACTGTATTATAAAGATGTGAAGAAAACCAATTTATGAAAAAACAATATTCATTTTGATATACAAATGGGCACACACAGCAAATGACATAATGAAGCAAACAGATGCTTGATCCTATAAGTAGACTAATGGAATGCCACAGCTCCAAAAGCTGACAGATTTGGGTGAGTTTTGTTGCTGATTTAAACACTGTGGGTGGGGTTGTCATCAATTTCATGATTTTTTTTCTGAGACGATCAACAACTCGTGATTATAACTAAACAAAGTTTCAAAGTCTCTGAATTTATTTTGTTGTTCCTTCTTAGAAAAGTCATAACATATTAAAATTGTGCAAAGATTGTTTTGCGTTTCTATTTAGTGTAGTTAAATTCTTGGCTCAGTTATTTTTCACCCACACAAATGTCTGGTGGAAAACTCAAAGTCCTTGCTGGATGGGGGGAATTCTTCATTGTGTGGAATATACGTTGGCCCCAACAAATAGATTCTAGTAGTAACCCCAAAGATGGTGACAAATGGAAGCAGCCGCATAAAGTTCCTTAGTACCTTTTAAGATAGTGGCCCTGTCCTTGGTAGGAGCCAAAGATTTAATGATAGCATTTATTATTTTTTTTTTCCTTTAGATTCTTGCTACTAGAAACAAAGTAACAAGGAATATCCTTAGATTTCTTTCAGGGCACATGTCAGAATAATTCCTTAGGAAAGATCAGTCCCATCTCTCTTCAACTAAGGGTCTCTTGCTAAGGCTGGCATGTGGAATGTGACTTCTCTGGAAAGAGACTTTTCTGTCTCACTTTCTCTTTCTCCTGTCTAGATGACTCCCAGACCTGAGTTGGAGCAAGTTCTGGTTTCCTTGGAGGTCCTACTACCCTGGCCTCCCTTTTTTTCCTCCAGGAAACCAGCTCTTCCTTGGCTGCTCTTTCCTGCCCTTCTCAGAGGAGGGAGTGAACTCAAGACTTCAAAGATCTCACCCTGCTCTTCCAAGGAGGGTCCCCTCTGCAACTCTGACTCATCTCCTATAACTGAACACGTGATTTTCCATTGTGAGGTTTGATCTTTGGTGGGGCACCCCTTTTGTGGACATGCCACTCTTTGGACATGCCACTCTTTGGACAAAGGACAGATGTCAGTTTCAGATAGGAGCAAAATGAGAAGAGCTACTGTTATTGGGTTGATTTGGGGTTAGTGAGGTATCTTAATTGTGCTTATTAGAAAATTGTGAATGGCTTGAAGGCATTTCTTAAGAGAGGCAGTGTTATGGTTTGGCTGTGTGCCCCAAAGTTCATGTATTGAAAACTTAATTCCAATGCAATAGTGTTGAAAGGTGGGACTTTTAGGAGGTGATTAGGTCATGAGGACTCTGCCCTCGTGAATGCATTAATGTCATTCTCATGAAAGTGGGTTTGTTATAAAAATGAGTTCAGCCCCCTCTTGCTGTCTTGCCTTTTTTTGCCCTTCCGCCTTCTGCCATGGGGTGATGCAGTGAGAAAAATCTTCACTACACGCCAGTGTCATGATCTTGCTCTTTCTAACGTCCAGAGTTGTGGGAAGTACATTTCTGTTCTATGTAAACTACTCAGTATCAGGTACTCTTTTACAGCCGCACAAAGGGACCAAGGCAGTGGTTAAGTTGGGCTTTGTTCCAGAAAGACTGAGGAAAAAAGAAAGAGATGAAAGTTCCCAGAAGCAAGTGAAAAAGAGAGGAGTGGAATCCTGGGATCTCATGCTATCCGGGGCATCTAGAATATTTACTCAAGGTTTTGAATGCAGCTTCTGTGAATGAAGAGCCTTTTAGGAAGTCAGGTGCCTCCGAATGTTCAGAAAGAGAGCAGGATTCCAAAACACTGGGAAGACACCGTTAGAAGTTTTGAGATTTGTTTCTTAGTAAGAAAAAGACTGTTTTTTATTTTTTTAAATTGGGAAAGACTTTGGATAGGAATGTGGTGGGAGTTGCCCTTCGGAAAAGGAAAACAACAGACAACTTGCAAAGTTCCATTTTGTCTCTTTTGATTTGCATTCATTATCTTTTCTGGGTTGTGTCTGTTTTACTTAATAGATATATAGAGCTTAACAATGTACAAGAATATCTATATATTTGCCTCATCGAATATTCATGACTTGCCAAGTGTTCATTATTACGATTGTACACATCGAGTGTGAAAAGCAGGGAGACACTTATCCTTGATTACATTGAAAAAAGTGACAGCAGTAAAACTGGAGGCCAAGCCTTCCGAACTAGAAGCCTTTATGACCACCAGCATTAAAAGAACTTAAACTTGTAGAATATCCTCCTGGTGAACATTTTATTTTTATCACTTTCTTGGGAATGACATGCTGTTTTTCTGAGCCTGTTTCTAATTTCGCCTGCTTGGGCGTATTATTTACCCATTGCCACCTGGTGGTAAATGAGAAATATTATGGGGAAGAAGAGAAACAGGGAGGTGAGAAGACAGTTGCTAGCTTACTCCAAACAGCAACCTTGGTTCAGAAATTTGAGATTCTATGGCAGGGGGAGAAAGCTGTTTTTTTCTGGCTCCACCAGGGAATGCAAAATGCGTGAGGTCCAAGTGACATCAGTGATGCTCTCTCTATTCAGGGTAAAGGTAGAGTGGCCACAGCACTGCATTCTTCTAAGAAGAAAATAGAGGCATAGACAGTGTGTCTAATAATGAAGAGCAACACTAGAGTGTGTATGGCATTCTTAAATAAGATTATATGGAAAAACAGTGATGCAAATGTTTTTTGCACAAATGCCAGGCACATATTAGGCTTTCAAAAAAGGTTAGTTCAGGTTGGGATTGTATTTCTTTCCTAGATCTACTTAATACATTGTGGTTTTTAAAACATTTCTTTTTTCTATACCTACTTTTGTTTTCCTGATCTGATGGGAGAAAAATGGACTCATCCCCTGACTTGCCTGTTGGGGCACCTGCTACCTATTTGCTATTGGTTCACTTTCCTTACCCAGAGAAGTTTCCAAAACTGTTCTGAAATCCCCTCTAGGTTTATCCACCTGGAAGTGCTACCCCTACTTAGCCACACTGAAATTCCTCTCTTTTTTTTCATTTCATGTAGACCATTAAAATGATGGGGGATTTTCTGTGGGGATCCACAGGAGAAGCAGAAAGGCTGGGAACACTTTTATACCTCCTCTTCTGCATTGAATTTAATAGGAAATATGGGAGTTTCCAACTCATTTTGGGAAGATGCTGGATGCCTGTCTGTTTCTTCATTTTACTCCCAGTTCCCAGCACTGCAGGAGAGTGGTATGTAGGGCGCCATATTTGGGCCTCACCCTGAGAAATTTCCTCACCAGCTGCCACCAATGCTGCCCTCTGTCTTGCTGCTGCAGGAGTGGTGTGATGATGCATGCTGGTGGGGGCTGTTAGAGGATGGGAGGAGGAACAGGGTGGAGGACAGTGGAGAGAAAAAAAATCAGAAGAAAAAACACCACTGAAAAATGGCAAGGAGATCAAGGTATTTCCATTTAAAAAATGGGAATCTTGGATTACAATTTTTTTTTTTTTAGCAAGATGATTAAGCCATTTTGGAAACATGACTCATATTGATTTCTACCCTTTCTTTCTCCAAATGATAATGAAAAACACATATTTGGAAGGTTTTTACAAAATTATGAGTAATATCAGATCGTATGATTTCTGTACACAGAGCAAAGCAGTCCAAGTTAATGGCAAGAGGAAAAGAAATCTTTGCTTCTAGAAGACCCTGCCATTGACAAACACCAAGGAAGTGTTATTTGGTTTTTGGGGGGGTCTATACCTCCTGTTCCTTATGTTGTCTTTTCTAATTTTTTTCCCCTTAAGATTTTATCAAGGTTATATGTGCATGTAGTTCAAAGAACCAGATAGATAATTCTACCAGATTTATTTTTGAAAACAAAGCAAAACAAAACAAAACAAAACAAAAACAGTGGTTCTTGTTCCCATCTCTTCCATTTCCCAAGGCAACTACTTACACTTCTTGTGTCTGATTGTGTGTGTATGTGTGAGTGTGAGTATGTGTGTGTGTGTGTGTTTATGTCTTTGTCTCTGAATCATATGCTTGCATTGCTACTTTTGATTTTTCAGTCTTGGGTATCCTTTCCACTAGGGAGATGAAACCTGGATTTTTCCTCACCCACCACCTCGCCCCAGCCATCATACCCTTTCTGTCGCCCACTTTTTCAATGTAGTTTTATTGTAATGTTGGTGCAATCCGTATTCAGTATTTAGAACATTATGACAATGTACATGCTACCCAAGGTGGAACCAGATATTAAACTGCAATTTCTTTTTCTTTCTGTACAGATTTTTGTTTTCTTTCAACTTAGCAATTGCTGTTTGGTTTGCTTTCCGCTCTCAAACACTTCATCATTGGCCTAAGTCTTTCTCAAGAATTTTGGATGCATCAGATATCCTAAAATTTTATTTGCCTGGGAACATTTCTCCTGGAGCCTCTTGTCCCGCTCCAGCCTGGACTTGTCCCCATGCCGGCACACCTCCCTCCATGCTGGGATCTACTTTACAGTCATCCTGGTGGAGCCCTCTACCTCTCCCTCTTGGATCTCATCTTGCCTGAGCCACAGTCTTTATCCTGCTGTGCTCTCCAGCTTTGGAGGAGCATATTCTTCAATAGCTCCCAGGAAAAGAGGACATAGAAGATAAACTTTTAAGAAAAAATAATTTTTTTGAGGTTGTGCTTGTCTGCAAGGTCTATACAGCTGCTCTTCGACTTATTATGAGTCACATTCCAATGTAAGTTGAAAACATTGTCAGTCAAAAAGCGTTGAATACATCCAACCTACCAAATGTCATGGCCTAGCAGTGGCACACTGCAGGGTGTCGGTGACTGTGGCTTGACTGGAAGCGGTGGCCACACGGCTGCTGCTGCACCTGCCCAGTGTCACAAGAGAATATCAAACCACATGCCACTAGCCCGGGAGAAGATCAAAATCCAAAATTCAAAGTGGAGTTCCCAAGGAAGTCTCAACGCTTTCTCACAACGTTAAAACAAACAAACAAATGTGAGTTGAACCCCTCTAAGTCAGGGACCATCTGCAATTTATCCTTGCACCCGAGTATCCAGAGAGAGAATTCTAGGTTACAGGTAGTTTTCTTCATTAGGGAAACACAGTTTTCACCTGATTGTCCTCTTTCAGCACAGTGGCTTTCCTCAGCTGTGTTGGGGACACTTGTGGCTTGGAGATCCTGTTTTTTTCCTCTCCAGAGAATACACCTTTGCATTTTTCCTAGGGTGGGGGACAGGTGGTTGTTCTCTTGCAAAGGGGGTGGGAAAGGTGACAGGAAAGGCGCCGATATGGAACCCAAGGCTCCCGTGTGACAGGGTAGTGCTCCACCCCCAACCCCCAGCTCCGATCTGAATGTTAAATCGACATTTAACCATTTTTCTCCATAGGCACCTGGTACTGCAAATCCTGAGTCACTCTTGCCTTTTCCTTGTGTTCACATAGGATTCAGTTCCTTCAGTTTTGTTAGTGTCTTTGTTCGTCTTCTCCCCATTCTCCAGCTTTCCAAATGACTTTTCTTTTCCCTTCTCTCTTTTTTTTTTAATTAAAATTCATGCCCTAAAAATAATTTTTAAAGAAATCCCATTACAGTTGATTCAGGAGGGTATTGAGGAAGGAAGAAAAGCGTACAACACTGCTTCCCTCTGTCCTCTGCCCCTCTGGCTGACTCTTGGCAGAGCACAGCAGCTTCAGAGTTGTTGTTTACAGTGGAGTGGAGTTCTGTCGTTGACATCTTCGTGGATGCTCAGTGTATAAAATAGATGTCAACCAAGCAGCTGTGTTTGATGAGCGTTTGTGATTTTTCTCTCTCAGGTTCTCTCTGACATGTGGGCATCCCTGAGAAATCCCTGGAAAACGTGGTTCTGTGTCAGTGATTTAGGAATTGTGGAACATGGTTCATCCCTCCAGGAGATGTTAGACATAGGGAAGTTGTGATATTAAGGAAGGAGCATTGATTGATTCATTTCTTAGAGATTAATTTTATTGCTTCTGATTGCTCCAAAGGTATAAGAAAGTGAGAAAGAGCCATTCTGAAGATCTGAATAAAAGTTGACTTAGAATCTCCTGAGCCTGGCCTTATAATTACAATAATAACTTTAATTTGAAAGTATGTAAATTTACCTGACTATTAAATAATATTAAGTGACCTCCTTACACACTTCCATGATTAAAGATGTTGGATATTAGAAATACTCAAAATTACTTTTAGAAAGTGAAATTTCTAGGGGCTGGGGCTGGGGCTCAGTGGTAGAGCGCTTGAGTGGTGCATGTGAGGCACTAGGTTCGATCCTCAGCACCACATAAAATATAAATAAATAAAACAAAGGTATTGTATCCATCTACAACTAAAAATATTTTAAAAAAGGAAAGTGAAATTTCTACTTTATGTAGGATTGCTATTAAAACCAATGTTTTATCCTAATTTGTTTACCTAAATATATGAGTTAGAGGAAGTCTGTAGGGCCAGGAAAAATATTTAAAATTCCTTCTGTAGGGAAACAATTATTTGATTTATGCATGTTTGACCTTAATATTTACATGCAGTCTAGCCATTAAAGACGCTCCTTTTCCTTCCTCCTCCACTTTCACTGGTACAGGCCATCAGTTACCTGGTGAAATCATGGAGGGACATGGATATATTTATGCTCTGCAGGTCACTCAAAGGTCCAGTGGGGAATGGGCACCAAGATTTACAAACCTTGTCCAAAGGAATGTATTTTCACATCTCTAAGATGACCCAATGCATTTTTGAATGTCATTAAAACACACACACACACACACACACACATACAAAAAAACAAAAAAACAAACCAATGGGATGAAAACAAACAAAACCCCTAATAAATAGTGTAGAGAATTTAAATGGAGAATGTGTAAGTAGCACGTTGCAGAATCTGCCACCTGGAGTCCAGCCTCCTGCTCTGATGTGTTTGGTGTCAGCATCATCTCGCAGAGAACTCAGGTATCACCACCCCGTCCCAACTACCAAAAATATTTGTTAATCATGCTACAGAAAAGAATCTATCAGCTTCTGTTGCAGGTGTGAGATACCTTTAGAAAAGAGAAAGGAGACTTAACTTCAATGAGAAAAAAACTAGTATTTTGATTATTGTTTCATTTGTTTTTGGTACTGGGGATTGAACCCTGGGACACTTCACCACTGAGCCACATCCCCAGCCCTTTTTATCTCTTGAGACAGATCTTGCTGGGTTGCTTAGGGCCTTGCTAAGTTGCTGAGGCTGGCCTTGAACTTGCAACTCTCCTGCCTCAACCTCTGGAGGTGCTGGGATTATGGGTGTGCACCTCTGCACCTGGCTGTTGTTTCATATTTGAAAGACTCTTGAAAACAGCTAAAACCATCATCCTGCTGTTGCTCTGACTTGAGGCAGACTGGGATCTCTAGGAGACACATCTATTGAAGCACTGGGAGATGGAGGAACAGGTACCTGGGGAAGGTACTCCTTCGACCTCCTCCTAAGGACACTGAAACATGAGAGAAAACTCACTGTAGAGCAGGAAAGTGCTGGCAGAGAAGACCGGTTCTGTCAGGTTGTGTGTTTTGGTGACAGTCCAAGTACCATGAAGTGCCTGTGAGCACAGCACACACACTGGGGGGGTTCCACGTGGCCACCACAGGGCATGTGCACCACGGCCTCGACTTGTTCGCTGATGACATCACAAAGCTGGCCTCTTGCCTAAGGATTTCCAGAAGAGCCAAAATGTTGTGAAACACGCAGGAGCCACTCATTTGTCACTGTCTTCAAGAAGAAGCCAGAGGGAATCAGGCAAGGAACTGAGACCAGACCCTGAAGATGGGCTGTAGGCAGGTGATCAGACGGGATCGATCCTCCGCTCTTTGATAACATCTTGAAAACTTACTAAAAAAGAAACAGCTCTTCAACCAAATGCCACCTTTGAGAGTTAGCTGCTTCTCTTTTCCCGTGAGCTCCAACAATAAATGCTTGCTCTTGCTTTTATTTCTCTCAGTCTCTCACCAGAACCTAAGCTTTTTGCTACCTACCCTTCTTCCTTCCGGTTGACTGATCTGGACCAGTCCCACTTTGTGGCATACTGAAGTAGGCTATGAAAGGAAAGAAAGCCTATGCATTAAAAAAAAAAATAAGAAGAAAAACAAAAGGGGATGGAGGGACCTGGGTGAAGGAGGGTAGATAAGGTGGAGTTTATGTGGCTGGTCATGAAGGCAAAACGTATCATGTGTGAACTCACTCTATGAAGGCCAGGCCTTCTGACAGGTCAGCTGGTATTGTCTTAAGATTAGGATGGGGGTTCACCCTACACCAGGCAGTCCCTCCTGTGGGCTAACTTTGTTCTGGGTTCTTCTTACTTCCTTGGCTCCCACCGTGAGGTATTTTCGGGGTCACTTTTCCTTCTCTGTCTCTCCTTCCTTCTCATTAGGAGTCTTTCTCATCTCCTCAGAGCCTTTTTAGGCACTGATAAATCTCCATTCGTCAAACACACTGGAGCTGAGGTGTTAACAACTAAGAGATTTGAGGTTAATGTGTCAGGAATGTTCACATTTTAGCTGGAGACTCCACAAATTCCAATATGGAGTGTGAGAGGTCAGTAGTTAGGGAGACTTTCCTTGGTAATTCTAAGCACTGTGCAAATTCCACTCATTCTGGAGGGAAGTTTTGTTTTGTTTTTTAATGTAGTGCCTAGAGGTTGATAAATAAGATATCTACACAAGGCATGAAGGGACAGGGAAGTTTTGTGTTTTGAGAAGGGAAATTAGGGTCATGTCAACCTTTGAAGAAAAGTTAGGAAAGAAATTGTACAGTTAAGAAATAATGGGCAAGCTGGTGGGGTGGCACACACTTGTAATCCCAGACACTTAGGAGGCAGAGGCAGGAGGATTGCAAGTTTGAAGAGACTGACGTTTGAATAAAATCTGAAATCACCCAAATTGTTTTACATCAGTATGGGCCACAGAACAACAGGGTGTCTCAAAAGAAAATAAAAAGGGCTGGGGATGTAGTTCAGTGGTAAAGCCCTTGCCTAAGCATGCAGAAGGACCTGGGTGCGATCCCTAGCGAAGAAACAAGGTGCAAAATATGGGTATTTTAACCTCCCATGGATCCTCAATCCTATTAACATTTCCCTGCACCTGGCTCTGAAAAAGAATAGGCAAACGCAGGTTATGCAAATTAAGACAGGTGTCATTGAGCTGAGAGTCATTTGCATGCCAAGGGAGATTGCCATTATTGTCATTTCAAATCCTGGGGGATGGGGCTTTGCTGGTGGCTGGGCTTTTGCATGAATCCAGGGAGAGGGATTTCTAAGTGTCGGGTCTCAACAAGATGGTTTAGCCAGAGATTCTGTTTTTCCCTGCAGATGTGCCTCAGCAGGAAGAGTAGGACCCAATCTGAGCTGACCTTCACTGGAGAAGATGCCTTCCTCAACTACCTTGATCTTCATGGTCATCTTCTGCCTGGAGTCATTGGCTGCTATGTTGCAGAATGGCTTCATGATCACTGTGTTGGGCAGGGAGTGGGTGCGGTGCCAGGCACTGTCCGCAGGCGACATGATTGTGACCAGTCTCGCCGTCTCCCGGTTCTGCCTGCATGGGATGGGCATCCTGAACAACTTCCTGGCCTCCTTTAAGTTTTGTTACCACATTGGCTACCTCAACATCTTCTGGAACTTCTTCAACAGTCTCTCTGTCTGGCTTACCTCCTGGCTTGCCGTCTTCTACTGTGTGAAGATCTCGTCCTTTTCCCACCCTGTTTTCTTCTGGCTGAAGTGGAGGATCTCTTGGTTAGTGCCCAGGCTGCTGGTGGGCTCCCTGATCATCTGTGGCCTGTCAGCCAGCTTCTTTGCCATTGAACAAGCAGTGAATCTTGAGACGATCAACTCCCAGAATCCCCACGGAAACTGTACTGCTGCTCCAGCAGTACTGACCTTCTCTCGGTACTACTTTTCATGTAATGTGGGGTTTATGTGGCTCATTCCATTCCTTCTGTTCCTGGTGTCCATCTTCTTGCTCATGTTCTCTCTATGCCGGCACATGGGGCACATGAGGAACGGCAGGCCTGGGCCTGGCGATCCCAGCATCCAGGCTCACAGCATGGCTCTGAAGTCCCTTGCCTTCTTCTTTATCTTCTACAACGCGTATTTCCTGTCCCTGATCATTTCTGCTATGAAAATCACAACCATCCAGAGTCACTGGCATTGGGTCAGGGAAGTGCTAACCTACGCAAGCATCTACCTGCACTCCCTCATCTTGGTGCTAAGCAGCCCCAAGCTGAGAAAGGCCCTGAAGATGTGCCTCCTGTGTGCTGCCAGTTCATAGGTTCTGAAGGCCCTGAACAAGGGGTGATCTGGGTCTTAAGTTACCCACATCTGGAACCAGTACTGTGATGAACAGTCCCATGTGGCAAGACTTCAGAAGGTTCGGGTACTTTCTCTTTTCAGTTCTTCCTCTCCCCACAACCCACTCGTTGCATGTCCCACTAAATCTTTTTCCATCTCTCTGTGTTCCCCCTGTCTCCTTCACTGTGGCTAAACCCTAATCTGAGTCCCAATCCCTTTGGCCGTAGCTCATGGCCTCATTTCCTCACAGGCCTGTCAGACTCTCTGTGCAAGCAACCTAAGAACATTCTCCAAGCTACACTCCCTTTGTGAAGACTTGTACCCATCATCAATGGTCTCCATAGGCGAACAAAAGTTGTTTTTAGTGGCCTGGATTCCCAACACCACCCCCCTTGTGACACCAGCTGCCTCCTCATCTCCTCATCTCAGTCTCTCTGCAGTACAGCTTCTTTCCATCTCCCCACATCTCCTTCCCTTCCACCATTTATCCCTTGGCCCACCAGAGAATTGAAACGTCCCTCATGTTTCTTTCTTCCTCCCTTCTTTCCTTTCTCTGCCAGTCTTTGCCATTCCCATCTTTTGTGTCCTAAAGACTGATTCTACCCAGGAAGCTTTCTCAGTTTGATCCCCTGGAAGGCTGAGGACACACAAGAGCTTTGTGCTACTTCAGAGGACACATAAGCTCGTTGTGCTAACATACCACATGATTTCATGTGTTGGCTACATGCTGCATTAAAAGGAACTGTCTGACGTGGAAATGATTTTAGGGTTTGGACAACAGAAGATAGATGGAAAAAGAAGGAAATTCTCAACAAGTCTTAATTTTGATAATTCTGTTCTTCCCGGCTGTTACCAAGGAGGTGCCTCCTGGATGCTATTGCCTAGGATGTTAATCTCCAGACAGAGCTTATACACTGAGAGTACGAAGAAAATCATCAACTTCAATATCCATTTGCTGTTTATCTTCTTCAAATTCCTATTATTCTGTGTATCTTATGAGGTAAACAAAGAAGTACATAGATATAATTAATAATAAATTTGCATACGTTTGAACTAGTCAAACGAGGAGTAATTAATAAATAACATGACAGAAAGGGAGTTACAATGAATTTCAAATAAATAACTTCATTTTATGGTAAATTGTGCAACAATCCTGGAAAGCTGAGACCCCCCCCCCAAAATTACGTTTCAATGTTAGCTGGAGTCCAAGCTATAGCAGGAGAGAGAGGGGGATGCCCAGAGAAGGGAGAGCAGACTGATTAATTTTCTCTAGGAAAATGGTAATTAAAGCTTTAAAAGAGGAGATTTTGGCAAATAACACAGAGAGTAGGGACGAGAGGCAGAGCAGAGGGGCCTTGTGGGAAACTGGTGCTATGGCCACACTAATATTCTAGAACCTTTGGGTCTAACTGAATTGGGGCACCAACTGAACACACAGTAGCCTCATCATCAAGCACAAAGGGCTTTTCCTTTTAAACTCATTTTGCAGCAACATGAGGGAGCAGATGCCACAGAGGGCTGGATGGGGGCAGCAGAGGCAGGGGCATCAGGGTGACTGCTCCGTCCCCTCTCTTCAGCTGTGAGCTTTTGGAAGACTGTCTGTCCTTGGGCATCTCTGCAGCCCTTTCCTGAAGGTCTCCGGTGGAAAGGGCCTGGTGATCTGACTCAAATTCTGCCGCATTTTCACACCCCTTGAGTTGTGCCAGAGCTTCTATTTAGAGTTCTTCACTGGGTGGTATTCTCAGCCTCCTTTCCTAAACTCCAACTCATGAGCATTAAAAGTGTCTGGTGGCTTCACCTTGATTAAAGAAAAAGTCCGGTATCTCATCCTGACTGTCCTGGCTTTCTCTGGTCTCTCTCCAGCCTATCTTTTCAGATCAATGTGCCACCTTCCCTTCTGTGAGTCCCCTGTGGTACCCAACCTTACCTAATCATTCTTGACATAAGCGTATTTCCACCGCCTTTCCTGATGCTTTGTCCTCTGCCAACATGCAAGAAAGCAGCTTTCTTGTCTTACAACAATGGAGCTTCTTCTGCTGCTGCTGCTGCTGAACTATTTGGAGAATCCTTGGGATGAGAATAGGAGGATGCACAATGTTTAGAAACTTTTTTTTTTCTTGGTGCTGGGATTGAACCCAGGGCTTCACCCTTGTTAGGTAAGCACTCTAGCACTGAGCTGTACCCTAAGCCTGGGAGGGTGAATGATATTTAGAACCACAGCATGTGTTTGGATCAATCTTTTTAAAAAAATTATTCTGACAGAAATCTTTCTGAATTGAGAATTTCCCAGCTAGACAACCTGCTCTAGATTCTTATGCTACCATGCTCGTGATTACATTTGTAAAGACTCTGAAAAATTTTAAATTCTCAGATTTGGATTCTACTTAAAAAAATGATGTAAATTTTAGAAGCAAAATGCCACAGACAAAAACTCACCACAATAAAAAAATTAAAATAAAATCACAATAAAAATCATAAAACACTTTAAATGAAAATGACTGTTCACTGCTTGGGGTTAATTTAATTGCCCAGGAAATGTTTGTGGTTTAGGATTAGTGCAAAAAGAGGTTTCAGGGCAAATGTGTAAATCAGCGTTGCAGCCCCAGTGCCCAGTGCTTTTCATGGAGTTATATGACATGGGAGATGGTTAAAAAATTGTTGCTAAGTGAATTGAGGGATAACTGCACATCTTTCTCATGGTAGGAGCCATTGAAAGGGTAGGAGGTGGATGGAAAAGATATGAGTTTTCCATATTGAGAAGTTACTGGTTATTTAAACCACAGAGTTATAAGCCCATACTTTGCCTCATTTCTCCAAGTTTCATTGGAAAACAGCCAAATATCAGCCAGAGGAACCACGAGAAGGAAGAAGCAGCTGGGAACTGTGTTCCATGGAAATTTGCATTTCCACAAGAGTGTGGTACCTTCTTCCCTTTATTCAGGAACACAGTGTCACTACAGTTGGTCCCTGTGTTGGACAAACAATTCCTCCTGGAGGGAGACTGGAAATGGAAAGACATGCAGAATAACTATTCTTCATTCTAGTCCCTCTTTGTTCTGGCTAAGAGATGGGGATACCATTAACACACCCTCATTCTTTTTTTTTTTAACTTAATTCTAAGTCTTCTATGTTGCTACAACAGATCTAGAACAATGTCTGCTCACTTAGTTTTCTGTGAAGTATTAAAACTATTTGCACTAATCTGGGTGTTGACTGTTGTTTTTTTTTTTTTTTAACTCTTTGATGTTCAATCCTATGAAGAATACAGTCTTGAATTATTTCATCCCTTCTGGTTAATGTAGATGGTCCAACGTCTGGTACCCAGAACCTCCACTGCATTCCTGATACTCTCCTTGATCCCTCTGGGACCACTCGTCAGACTACAGGATGTATGGAAGATAGTCATTCTAATAAGTCACAGTCATCATCATAATTATGTCTCATGCATGTACAGAGATTTCTAGTTTTCAAAGAACTTTCATATATTTATGCTCACATTTTTTTGTGATCCATATTTTTAATAGGAGAAGAAAGAGGAGGTTAAAGGAATTAAATGATGACCCTGTGAATCCATAGCCTGTGATTATAACAAGACTCAAAACCTGGTCTTCTGCCTCCAGCTAAGGATGAAGAAGATAGGATTGTAAATTACAATGCTAATTATGGCAAAGGTCCCTAGACTTGGAATCATTTTTACCCCTGGTTTTCTTTTGTGACTTTCAATGGGAGTCTTCATCCCATTTAAAGTTTGGGGCCTCATTTCTTTCACTTGTGAAATTATCTTTATTTCTTGCAGTCTAAAATCTGAGATTCTAACTGGGCGCAGTGGCGCATGACTGTAATCCCAGTGGCTTGGGAGGCTGAGGCAGGAAGATTGTGAGTTCAAAATCAGCCTCATTTAGTGAAGCTTCAATCAACTTAGTAAGACCCTGTCTCTAAATATAAAAACAGCTGGGATGTGGCTCAGTGGTTGAGGGCCCTTGGGTTTAATACTTGGTACTAAATAAATAAATAAATAGATAAATACTGAGATTCTAAGACAATCCTATGCATTATAACAGCCAGTTTTCACATTTTGCAGATGCACACAATGAGGCACAGAAGGGTGACTGGCATATCCAAGAGCTCACAGTTGGGGGTGCGGCTTGGGCTGAAGCCTGTCTAGTCTCCTGGGTTAGAGCTGTCCCTGTCACATCCCACTGGTTTTATAGCTGTCTCAGTAAGGGCTCCTCCCTGAGATGCCATTTTAAAATATAGTTTAAAGAATTGAAAAACATTTTTTTGCTTTGTTTTATGTAATTGTCTTCAATGTTCTATTTTATGATGGAGGATTCTCAGGCAATAAAGATTCTCGTTAACTTCTGAGTAGAGGTTTTCCTCAGTTTTCTCTCTGTTTCTCTATCCAAGGGGTATTCTTGGAGCACCTAGTTCATGCGTTGCTGTAAGAAGTAAACACTACTGAGGGCATTTGTAGCCTTGCTTGGAACGGAGCGTCTACACCTCCATGGATGTGTCCATGGTGTCCTCTGACCCTCAGTAGGAAGTGAGCCTGTGCATTCCATTACTGAGCAGCCAGCAAGTGTGTGGTCATGTCTCAGGTGTTAGCTTAGGTAAATATAGCCTGGGTAAGGGACACCAATGCAAAGGCCTGACATATTATCTGTGCCGATGTTGACAGTGGGCAGGGAAAGGCAGGAGAGCAGGCAAATTCATAGGCAGGCAGTCAGACTCTGGAAATTTAGCCTTGACCACATTTGCATCTAGTCTGGAGAGAAGAACCCCTCTCTTCTCCCCCATCAGAGAGCCTGCATCCTCTACTCTGGGCTAACCTCTGCACTGGAGGAGCTGGAGATACAAACATACCCTGGACATCCTTCCAACCAACAGAAATAACCCTTGAAATCTTGGGACCCATCTTGTCCACAGGAGAAATGACTGGAGATCAAATGGTTCCAAAGGGTATGGTGACCCATAGGGAAGTCATCATCATCGTTATTATTTTCTTCCTTCTGCGCCTGGTGGTGGTGATGGGCAACGGGTTCATCACTGCACTACTGGGAATCAGTTGGTTGCTATGGAGAACACTGTTGCCTTATGATAGGTTATTGGTCAGCCTAGGGGCCTCCAGCTCAGTCTCTTCTATTGTGTGAAGATTGCAACCTTTACCCATCCTGCCTTCCTCTGGCTAAAGTGCAAGGTGCCTGAGTGGGTACCACGGATGCTGTTCAGCTCTCTGGGACTCTCGGGCTTGAGCAGCTTTCTATTTTTCATAGGCGACTGAGAAATAAATGATAACAATTTAAGGAGCAAGTGGCAGTCTCGGAGCATCTCTGGGAAGAGCATAAGAAGCTCACATGAGAAATTCTACTTCATCTCCATAAAAACGGCTACTTGGACAATCCCTACTGCTATCTTTCTGGTTATCTTTTACACCTAGTCTTCTTTTGTGACCTTCCAGGGGAGTCTTCACCCCATTTAAAATTTGGGGCCTCATTTCTTTCACCTGTGAAATTATCTTTAGTTTCCATGGTTTGCTTCTGACGTCCCTGGGGAGACACACGAGGAAGACCCTGTTGACCCTGTCAGGATTTCAAGATGTCTGAGCGCAGGCTCACATCAAAGCTCTCCTTTCCTTTGCTGTTCTCTTCATCTATTGCTTCCTGTCCCTGGTGCTCAGTTTAGCTGGTAGTTTTCCATTTCAGGAACTGAGGTACTGGGTCTGGCAGGTGGTGATTTCTCTGTGGGGGGCAGTCCACCCATCATTCTGCTCTTCGCGACCCCAGGCTGGGAGCTGCCCTACAGACGGGCTGTTCCTTGAGGTGTGTGGGGGGGTTGCATCTTGAGTCGCAAGCACTACAGTTAATGAAGAAAGACCTCCAAGTCATGGGCAGCAGGGCAGAAGGCATGGGCGCAACAGGACACAGCTTCTTTCTTTGCCACATGTAATCTTTTCTCCCTCTTTGCTATACTTAGTGTTGAGAAGAAGAACCTCAAGGACCCAGGATTTGAGGTGAGGTCAAAGATCCTGATTTATGAGCTGGTCTCAATGATGAACACCATGTTCTCTGTGGGACTTGATATGTTCAGGGGACAAAGAAACTTGTACTTTTCCTGTGACCAGTCCCTTGGTATTTAAAATTCTTCTTCGGGAACTGAATTCAAGGATCCGGACACCTGATGGGATATTTTGTGTGTCTAATCAAACTGGAGAAGATCTTTGGAGCTTCCGGTTCCCACTGGCTGCATCTGGTGAATGGGCTTTCCCTGCTCAACACTTCTCCTGTTCTGCTACCACAGGGGGAGGATCTCTTTCCCAGCATGGACGAGTTCCTGGTGTCTGAGCTCTCCACAGAGCATGGTGTTGCTTGTGCATGTGTGTGGAGTGTGTTGCCTTGAAGGTGGATGTTCTCAGACGACCTTCTAGGATCCTTCTGAGAGCTAGAAGTCTTAAGATTTATATATTGTCGATGTCCTCCACAATGGCTTGCTTTGTTAGTCAGCTCTGTAAGTGTTACGGCCCATGGGCCCAATGTAACTTCTTTCATGTTCATATTGGAACAACTGAAATTTCTTCTACAGACAAATTCCTCTAGCTCTGTCTGAGACTTAAGATTTAAGAATAAAAAGATTCTTCAACTCCATCCATTTACATGCAAGTGCCATGATTTTATTCTCTATTATTGCTGAGTAATATTCCACTGTGTATATATACCACATTTTCTTTATCCACTCATCTACTGAAGGGCATCCAGGTTGGTTCCACAGTTTAGCTATTGTGAATTGTGTTGCTATAAACATTGATGTGGCTGTGTCCCTGTAGTATGCTATTTTTAAGTTCTTTGGGTATACACTGAGGAGTGGGATAGCTGGACGGAGTTGGAGAATATAATGCTAATTGAAGTTAGCCAGTCCAAAAAAACCAATTGCCAAATGTTTTCTCTGATATAAGGAGGCTGATTCATACTGGGATTGAGAGAGGGAGCAAGGAAGGATTCGACAAATTCTAGATAGGACAAAGGGTAGGAGGGGAAGGGAGGAGGCAAGGGGGGGATAGGAAAGATGGTGGAATGAGATGGACATCATTACCCTAAGTACACGTCTGAAGACACGAGTGGTGTGAATATACTTTGAATGCAACCAGAGATGTGAAAAAATTGTGCTCTATATGTGTAACATGACCTCTTGATTCCATGAGCTGTAATGCATTCTGCTGTCATATATAACAAATTAGGGGAAAAAAAAAGAATGAAAATAGTCTTGATTTGGTGGAAAAAGCATAGATTGCTTTTCTGCTTCTTACACCTCTTCTCAAACCTCCCTTAAACTCAATTATCCCTTGACATCCAACCCAACGTCTCTCAACTCCCCTCTAGTCCTTCAGCATCTCTAAGCATTATCTTCCTTCAACGTCTCTGCAATGGAAGGAAGGTCTCTGCTTTTGGTTTTTCAGGGCTAATATATGTGCTCCTGGCCCCTCTCCCTCTCTATGCCCCCAGCTCAGTCAAAGACTTCCTCTTCTGCATGAAGCTTCAAACTTTCCCTCTTCATTGCCCTTCTCTTCTGTAACAAACATTTCTCTAAAATATCCTTCATGAAAAGAATCCCTTCATCTGACCTTCTTCCTCTAGGGATCATCCCACCAACCTGTCCCTTGCTGAGAGTCCTCCATGACCCCTTGATTCCATGACTATCCTCTTCTGCTCCCCTGTTCTGCTGAAATGTGGATGCATGTAATTTCCTAATAATTAAAAGTGATATTACCCCATCCTCATCTTCCTGTATCTTTGTGATATTTACCTGTCTTGATTGAAAAGAATTTCTCAAAAACTGATTTCTTTTTACAAAAGTTCTACCTGATCATTGTAAAAGTTTTTTTTTTTTTTTTTTTTTTAAAGTATGTAAGCATCACCAGTCACGGCCCACCCCCATGTCTCCCTGAGCAGCTAGCTTTCTCCTTTTGGTTTCCTGGTGCTGTACTCGCCTCCCTCATCACCTGCTCACTCTCCCACCCCTTGGCTCTTCCCATAGCCAGCCTGTTCTTCCTGTGACATTTTCCCCAATCGCTTCCCTTTGTGATTGCTTCTACTTACAAAGCTTTAGTTATGTCCTTCAGGTGGATAGTTACTAAAGCCTTGACTTTCCACTAAGTGCTAATATTTTATATTTTCTTCTACTTACTAGACAAGAGCACGTGATAGTCTCATGAACACTTCAAACTTAGCAGGCTCAGATATACTTCCTCCTCCTCCTTGTCCTCCTCTTCCTCTCCCAGTCTCTTCATAGGCCCCTCCACTCTTCATCTGAATCTGTTACTTAAGTGGAGAAAGTCAGGCTTAGTATCTTTTTTTTTTTAATCGCAAACATTTTTCTTTTTTTTTGCATTTCTTTTTTTTATTGTTGGTTGTTCAAAACATTACAAAACTCTTGACATATCATATTTCACACTTTGATTCAAGTGGGTTATGAACTCCCATTTTTACCCCAATTACAGATTGCAGAATCACATCGGTTACACATCCACTGATTTACATATTGCCATACTAGTGTCTGTTGTATTCTGCTGCCTTTCCTATCCTCTACTATCCCCCCTCCCCTCCCCTCCCCTCCCATCTTCTCTCTCTACCCCATCTACTGTAATTCATTTCTCTCTTTTTTCCCCTTTCCCCTCACTTCCTCTTATATGTAATTTTGTATAACAATGAGGACCTCCTTCCATTTCCATGCAATTTCCCTTCTCTCTCCCTTTCCCTCCCACCTCAAGTCCCTGTTTAATGGTAATCTTCTTCTCATGCTCTTCCTCCCTGCTCTGTTCTTAGTTGCTCTCCTTATATCAAAGAAGACATTTGGCATTTGTTTTTTAGGGATTGGCTAGCGTCACTTAGCATAATCTGCTCTAATGCATCCATTTCCCTGCAAATGCTATGATTTTGTCATTTTTTAGTGCTGAGTAATACTCCATTGTGTATAAATGCCACATTTTTTTTTATCCATTCATCTATTGAAGGGCATCTAGGTTGTTTCCAGAGTCTAGCTATTGTGAATTGTGCTGCTATGAACATCGATGTAGCTGTATCCCTATAGTACGCTCTTTTAAGGTCTTTGGGGAATAGTCCGAGAAGGGGAATAGCTGGGTCAAATGGTGGTTCCATTCCCAGCTTTCCAAGGAATCTCCATACTGCTTTCCAAATTGGCCACACCAATTTGCAGTCCCACCGGCAATGTACAAGTGTACCCCTTTCCCCACATCTCGTCAGCACTTGTTGTTGTTTGACTTCATAATGGCTGCCATTCTTACTGCAGTGAGATGGTATCTTAGGGTGGTTTTGATTTGCATTTCTCTGACTGCTAGAGATGGTGAGCATTTTTTCATGTACTTGTTGATTGATTGTATGTCCTCCTCTGAGAAGTGTCTGTTCAGGTCCTTGGCCCATTTGTTGATTGGGTTATTTGTTTTCTTATTGTTTAATTTTTTGAGTTCTTTGTATACTCTGGATATTAGGGCTCTATCTGAAGTGTGAGGAGTAAAAATTTGTTCCCAGGATGTAGGCTCCCTATTTACCTCTCTTATTGTTTCTCTTGCTGAGAAAAAACTTTTTAGTTTGAGTAAGTCCCATTTGTTGATTCTCGTTTTTAACTCTTGTGCTATGGGTGTCCTATTAAGGAATTTGGAGCCCTACCCCACAATATGTAGATTAGAGCCAACTTTTTCTTATATCAGACGCAGAGTCTCTGTTTTGATATCAAGCTCCTTGATCCATTTTGAGTTAACTTTTGTGCATGTCGAGAGAAAGGGATTCAGATTCATATTTTTTGCCTATGGATTTCCAGTTTTCCCAGCACCATTTGTTGAAGATGCTATCCTTTCTCCATTGCATGCTTTTAGTACCTTTGTCAAATATAAGATAGTTGTAATTTTGTGGATTGGTCTCTGTGTCCTCTATTCTGTACCATTGGTCCACCCGCCTGTTTTGGTACCAGTACCATGCTGTTTTTGTTACTATTGCTCTGTAGTATAGTTTGAAGTCTGGTATCGCTATACCGCCTGATTCACACTTCCTGCTTAGAATTGCTTTTGCTATTCTGGGTCTTTTATTTTTCCATATGAATTTCATGATTGCTTTATCTATTTCTACAAGAAATGCCTTTGGGATTTTGATTGGCATTTCATTCAGGCTTAGAATCTTGAGTTGATATTCACTCCCAACTCTGTTGAGCCGGGGTGACTTTTCAGTAACCTGCCTTCAGTTTTTGCCTCCGTGCTGTCTCCATTAGCTATTCCCTTCTGCTGTGGCTCCCTTTTTAGATTAAACAACACTCCTTTCTCATCTGGACTTTAGGTTTCTTCTTCATTGCTTGTTCTATGACACTTTTTCTCCAAATAAAAATTACAGCTATGAGTTAGATATGTGGTTTGCCCCTCAGAGGCTCACGTGCTAGAAGCTTGGTCCCCAGGGCAATGGCATCCAGAGGTGGTGGATCTGTAAGAGGCGGGGCCTAGTGGAAGGTGATCAGGTCATAGACACACCACTCTTGAAAAGGACTAATGTAATTTTCTCAGAATTAGTTTAGTTCTCATGGGAGCATGTGGCTATAAAGTCAGGCTGCCCATGTGCTTGGTCCTCTTTGCATGTGGCCCGTTTCCTTTCTAGCTTCTCCACCATGTTGAGATGCAACCAGAGGCCCTCACCCAACATTGGTGCCATGCTGTGGGGACATTCCAGTCATTAGATTTGTAAGTCAAATAAACCCCTTTTCTTTATAATACCAAGTGTCAAGTATTTTGTTATAGGAATACAAATGACTAAGATAATTACCATTATTAGATTAATCTCCTGAAGGTGTGATCATTTCAGCTATACCCTAATCACTTCTCAATAACCATTAAATGAGACTCAGGGCTATAAACTTGGCTTTCAAGGACATCTAAAACCTGGCAACAATTCTATCCTTCACTGTTTCCATTTTAGTAGAATCTACATTTTGGTGAATTTGGATTATCATTATCACAAACATACCTGGAGCTTCCTCCTTGGCACTGTGAAAAGTGGTCTCTTATCCCCAGATGTACCTGTCAAAATTCTATTTAGCTTTTCTTTCTATTGAACTTCAAAAATTCACATCGTACCTCTGCAGTGAAGCATTTTTGGATGTTCCTTGAGCTTTGATCCCTCCCATCTTTGAGGCCATATAAGATGGTATTTCTCAGTGGTGACCTGAATTCTGCATGATGGTGCTGCTATCTGCACTCTTGTCTTCTCCTCCCTAGGAGATGTTAAACTTCTTAAACACAAGGGTTGACTCATATTCTTCTATGCTTCCTTTGCTGCATTTCTGGGTACTTGCTGCATTAAGCAGAATAGCTCTGTTGCACCTGGAATCCAGCTGTAAGCACGTATACTTTTGTCTGTACATTTATCTCTGACTTCCTGCTACTTTTGCTTGCCTGTTTAAACCACAATCCCTTCACTGAGTGCTTGGCTTATTTTCTGGGAGTCAAACTTACATTCAGTTTGTATTTGACTTATGCACAATGGAGAAATAATAAATGTGGGAGTGAGCGTGAGTGCCCAATTTTGTGGTGTTTTTGGCTTCCTTCTTTCTCATACATTTGCACGTTGCTAAGCAACTGTGTATGACAGGCTATTAGGTCCTTCATATCAAACTCTACGTGAGGTGCCAGTTCTCCTCTTTGTTGCTGGCTCAGTCTCTCTTTCCAAGGCCCCATATAAGCTACACTTTGTTCCTTCTGCTTCTCACATCATTAGCCCAGGATCTGAATGACCTCCCACATGGGCAAGTTCTGTTGGAGCTTGAACATACAGTAAAAAATAAAAGAGAAACAAGGTTTATTATATTTTTAAAATACCTGGTTGTTATTGTTATTATTATTATTATTATTAATTCTTGCTCATAGTCCAGCTTTATTAAAAAGTATGATGATGATATTAATACTATCATTTACTGAATGCCTATTTTGTGTGAGGGATGAGGCTAGAACACTGATTAACTTATGTCTTTTATATGCTTAATTCTTAAAATATCATGGCAAAGTGGAAACTGGGAGACAGGTTTACTGAGGTCAGGGCTAGTAAGTGATAGAACTGAAATAATTTAGTGTTATAGTATTTAAAAGTGTGGTATTGATGTAGATAGGAGGACAGTAGGATTCAATAAAAGGAGTGAAATAAATAAGCATGTCCATAGAGAATCCAGATGGTAGGTACTTAAATAGGTCCTACACATGGAAGAAAATGCAGAAAGCCAACTATGGGAGAAGTGCAAATTAAAACAAGTTTTTGTGACAAATACAGCTCCATAAATCAGTAGTTTCTCATAATCACATAAGAGCAAGAATAAAGTTGAAAGAGATTCTGAAAGCTTTCTTTTCTTCTTTTTTTTTTTAGTACCTGGGATTGAACCCAGGGGTGCTTCCTAATGAGCCACATCCTCAGCCCTTTTTATTTTAATTTTGAGACAGGGTCTCACTAAGTTACTTAGATCCTTGCTGAATTGCTGAGGCTACCTTTGAACTTGGGATCGTCTCGCCTCAGCCTCATGAGCCGCTGGGGTTATAGGCATGTGCCACCATGCCTGGCTAAGAGCTTTATTTTCAATGACACTGAGAAAGAAAATCCACACATTTCAAATGATGTGAAATCACTGGCAATCACAAATGGAATCAGGAAGATTCAAGAAAGAAATCGAAAAGAAGTATAAAGAGAAATGAGAGCCCGAGCAAGAATCACTTTCTATAGGAAAGAGACTCATCTAGAAATGCACCTCCCTGCCCTCAGTGTGCATGCAGCAGTATCTGTTGCAGTGTGACAAATTACTGCAACATTTGATGGCTGGAAACACTGGCTAACTCAGTTTCTGTGGATCAGGACTTCAGGTGTGTCTCCACAGGTCTCTGGCTCTGAGTTCTTACAAGGTTGCAATCATCTCAAGGCTCAACTGGGAAGGAGCAAATTCCCAGCTCATTCACACAGTTGTGGGCAGGACTCGGTTCCTCAAGCTTGCTAGACAGAGGCATTGGCTCCTTAGGAACCATGGGCTGAGCCCTCCTTCAGTTCCTTGCCATGTGACTGTCTCCTCAGAGCACTGGACTTCAACAGGGTGAACAAATGTGAGAGCAACAGACAGTGTTAACAAGATAGAAGTCACAGACGTTTAATTTATTGGCAGTGCTGGGGATTGAGCCCAGGACCTCATGCCTGACAGGTAAGTGCTCTGCTCCTGAGCTTCAACTCTACCCCAGTTACACCCTTTTCCACCCTAGTCAGTAGTGTTTCTTCATCATTGATCATTGGTAGCAAG